TAGATGCGAAAGTCCCAGATCTATTTTCCGTCAAGGGTCAAATTAATAAAATTACTAAAAGGGATTAATATGTAACTCCATATTGATCTTGTTTATAGATATATCACACACAGATTGAAAGAGTATTATTTACTGGATGACGTTTTGAACACAATTCATTATTACTGTTCATAATCACATCATCAATTATAATCACACAACTTCGAAACTTGAGTTTTATAGTTTTCTTTGTTCTCTCCTATTTGTCGTCGTAGGGGTAGTAGAACTTTCCAGATATCAGCGACGGGTGTTGAATCATTCCTATTAAATGTATTTGCAGTTGATTCGATAAACAAAGCTTCTGTTATCAATCTCTCCCTCCACTCTGTTACATCAGATTTTAAAACTGTCATCTTATCCCATCTATCCTATGTTGTATGTATGTATGTAGTGAGTGCTATAGCTGAACTATTCTCTAGATTTCTTATCTAATTCAGGTCAACCAATCTAGATTTTAGTAGGTTTTTATGCTGGGCTAGTCTGATTGCGTCAGTGGCATAGCGGTTGGGATGCTCGTCAACCATGCACATGGTCCGGGGTTCGATCCCCGGCCGACGCACTCCTTTATCTCTCTAAGCCAGAAATAATGCTGGTAAAGAGGATAGGTTGGGCATGAAGTCAGCAACCCTATCCTGTAAAAGTAAGCACTGCTACCGGAACTTCAAGACACTAGCTTGTAGCCCTATGTTCCAGTGGGGAACGTGAAGGAAAACAAAATAAAATAGTCTGATTGCCCCATTTCTACTAGTTTGACCTATGTATTTTACTTGACAATCGTCTCAAGGAGGGTATTAGATAAACTGAATTGTTATGTTTTAAAGGCTGCACAGGATCCTTTAATCAACAAAGCTTGTTACTAATTGAGGTTTTGGGTGGTTTGAATGCCAGCCACTTCTATTCCTGCCTTGTTAAGAATTCTGTGTAAGTTGGTTTCCGGTTCCTTACTTGTATAGGATTAATATGTAGCAATCAGAAAATTAGTGCGTCAGTAGCACAGAGGTAGAACACTCGCCAGTCATGCCTCATGGAGTCTGAGGTTCGATCCAAAGCCACTGACACGCCCCTCTACCTCATTAAGCCAGTAATTAGACTGGTAAAGAGGGAAGGTTAGCGATGAGGCTAGCAACCGCATCCTGTAGAAATAAATACCAAACACTGCTACCGAAACTTCAAGACTCAGGCTTGAAGGCACTCTATGTTCCACTGGGAACGTAAAGAAATAAAAACACAAAATCGACAGGAGGATTGGATAAAATCACAGAAGGATCATAATTATTGATGAAATTGATTTTTTGTGTAATTAGGGGTTAAAAGTGTAGTGATAACAAAATAGACAGGGAGTGTGGATAAGAAACGCGTAATAGAATAATAACTATTAAGAGAATTGACCTTTAATGCTGACCAGGGTAAAGACAAAGGTTGAAGATATTTCTTTTGAATACATATTGTAGGTTTGAACTTCTAGATCACGAGTGTCTTAGATATGTTCAGATGCCTTGATCTCAGTCCCTTTGACAGATTTGACAGGACCTTGTATACGAATCCGAAAGACTTTTCAAATAGAATTGAATACCCTGAGTTTACCAGATGTTCTGTTAAAAGGAAAATTCACGCATATCCATGGACTTTTGTGCTGTCGACTTTCTAAACTGCACACACATGGTATGTGTTGGTAGCACAGCGATTACGACTCTTGCTGACTTTGCACATGGCCTGGGGTTCGATCCCCTTCTGACCCACACTTCATATGTATGGTCGGCCTGCAAAATGTGGGCTACCCATATCATATGCTAAAAATTCCACACTTGTACCAAAAATACGGTGTGGTTTCAAGGAATAATCAAAAGTTGAAATAGTCCTTATGAAATCCAACTGAAATCATAGAAACAAGAGACAAACAAAATTACACTATATCAAAAGAGTGAGGTTAAAGCCAAAGATTACGTAATCAAATGAAGGGAGATTTAGAAGGTCATAGATGTTTGGCAAATGGGGCTCTCAGGGGTTTCAATTCATTGTAAATATTGTTGTCAATCAATTTCTTCTTTAGAACATCTCTCATTACGTAAAAGAGAAGACGTTCAACAAAGAGACTCTTTTCGGCGAATTCATTCACATAGCTGTACAATCGAATTTATATACAATTATTTGAGTGTGTGTGTGTGTGTACATGAGGTTTGTCAAGTTTAGATAATTGATCAGGTAATAAAAGAATGATTTAATTACGTTAGTTGCAGAGCAACTAAACTTGTTTCTAAACTAGATCATTCTTTTATTACCTGATCAATTATCTAAACTTGACAAACCTCATGTACACACACACATACACTCAAATAATTGTATATAAATTCGATTGTACAGCTATGTGAATGAATTCGCCGAAAAGAGTCTCTTTGTTGAATTTCTTCTCTTTTTCATATGACTAATTGGGGATTTTCAAGCTATCTCTCATTACGTTTCACATGCGTTTTCCACTTGATTACGCAATCTTTGACTTTAACCTCACCCCCTTTTATAATTTGTAAATTTGCTTGTCTCTTGTTTCTATTATTTGATTGCATGGAGGATTTAATCATGAGCAGCTGACATCAGTTAGAGAACCACTGGAAAACCTGGGAGTACTGAACAGCTGTTTCGTCTAGTTTGGGACTCCTCAGCAGTACGCACCCACCGGGATTCGAACCCAGGACCTTCTGGTTACAAGGCGAGCTAGCTCGTAGACCATTGAGCCACTGGGACCCGATCCAATGGTCCTTGAATTCTAACTTCTGCCAATTCACGACATAGCGCGACCACTTCGCAATGTCTTCTTCGATGAGTTACTACCTCATCTTCAACCTGCTGTACCCTACTGGTCACGGCTTCCCACTAGAACCTAGGTTAACTGCCTGAATAGGGCCAGTCACTAGTGAGCATCAGATTAATTTTCAGTATTGGTTTTGTAGGGATTTTGTTTGATTGCATGGAGGATTTAATCATAAGCTGACATTGGTTAGAGAACCACTAAAAAACCTGGGAGTACTGACAGCTGTTTCGTCCTAGTTTGGGACTCTTCAGCAGTACGCAGTATTTGAGTTGAACTCAATACATTTTTACCTAATTTATGAGCCACTCATCATCTTACGCATCTCTCGGCTTTATAACTCAACTCCTCTACCGTTGTATGCACACATTTACTTTGTTTAAACTTGAAATGCCTGTGTAAAAACTATATAAGCGCAATTTGCTGAGCACTGTTTACTAATTCCAGAACCTCCTTTAAACTGACATCATGTAAAATTTGCAAGTATGTTAAAACCTCTCTGTACATAAACTTAATAATTTTTTGCTGTAAAGCAGACATTTCTCGAGGAAGTACTTCTCCACCCGTCTTGTAGAGATACCTTGTGTCTACAGAGCTTCTTTGCTCTTCATAGTCGTTTCCCACTGCAGTTAATTACGTTGCGCTTAAGTGTGTTCATGTCCTTTAAGAGTTGAAGATTTCATTGTGAGGCTTTCATTTTCCTACTAAAGAACATTTTTCAGTGTTTACTTTGAATGGGATCCTAATGGCTGAATGACCATTTAGCTCGTTTAGTAACCTGAAGGTCTTGATTTCTATCCTTGGTGGGTGCGTAATGATGAGGCAACCCACACTAGAACAGTACAGCTGTTCAGCACTCTCTGCTAGTTTTCACCGGTAAGTGGGTATACCAGCTTTCCTTAGAGCTTTAATAAGTACCTCTGGGTTAAAGATTTTACGTAATAGCACTCAGCTTTTAGTCAGCATTAAAAGTTTACTGTGTACGACAATGCTGCATGGCAAGTAATCCACACAAAACGGAAACTTAAGGAATCCTTCGAAGTGAAGATAAGAGTGAGGCAAGGCTGGCTGTCTACTATTGCCAAAGATTTTCCTGATTGCAGTAGGTTGGATAATGCGACAGACAACGGGCGATGAGAAAACAGGCATAAAATGGACTCACACAAAAAGAGACTTGGAGGATCTGGACTTCACCGATGATATATGTGTCTAATTTCCCAAAAACTGAAAGATATGAAAGTGAAAAGCAACAGGTTGGCTATAGAAGAAGCATCAAAGATAGGACTTCTTCCAGGTGAACATAGAGAAAACAGAGATGATGAATATTCCTCGCCAACACCACCAACAGCAACAACAACAACAGACAACAATCAGCCAGCATAAATGTGAGGAACCTGAAAGAAACAACCTCCTTTACCTACCCACCTACCTGGGAAGCATCGTTTCAACTACAGGCCGACGGAACTGATGAGGATATCAAGGCAATAATCAGAAAAGCAAGACAAGCTTTCATTACTCTCAAGTCTGTGTGGAGGAGATCAACAGCACTCATCATGAAAAATGAAAATAAGATCCGGATTTTCAACTCCAATGTAAAGTCAGTGCTACTTGCTATACGGATCAGAAACTTGACGCGTCATAAAGAGCATCTCAAACAAACTACACTCCTTCACCAACACCTGTTTTCGCCCAATACTACTCAAGATCGATAGGCAGAAAAGATCAGTAACAGGAATCTCTGGGAGCGAACCAACTCAGCATGAATCGACTGTGTGCAGGAAGGAATGGAGATGGATTGGCTGGCCATACTCTGAGGAAACCAACAAGTGACATCACTAGACAAGCCATTGCTCGAGTGGAACCCGAAAGGGAAGCAGTGAGTTGGTCGTCCAAGGGTGACTTGAAGTAGGTCATGTGAAGAGGAGATGAAAGTATGTGGGCAGACTTGGAGCCAGGTGAAAACTCTAGCAGAGAACTGAACGCAATGGAGACGCTTGACTGAAGCCCTATGTTCCTTTAGGAATTAAAGGAAATAATAATAATAAATGTTTACGGAGAAGTCTTCTTCTCCCGGAGTTTATTTGACAGCACAACATTTCTATGTCTACTATGATTACGCAATGATTGAATAACAGTTTAAATTGTTTCTCCTTTCTAGGAAATGCAGATCAAGGTTTTGCAGCTACAAATCATTCAGGTACACAAATTAATCTTTGGGGTCAAATGCCCGGTTTAAATTGGGATGTACGTACACCGAATTCAGCGAATATATCTGGTTCTTATCCCCTATTGAACAACTACAGCAGCGCCAGCAGTGGTATACCATTTTGGTCTTCTTCACCATTGAATAATATTGAAAATACGGTTAGTCCACAACAACTCAGTACAATAGCTAATCATTTAACCCAAGTGAGTTGACACATACAATGTTATCATATCACTAGTGTTTGTATATATATATTTGTTTTTTTTTAAAGTTGTAGTCGTTACCATGGTTTCAGTGTATTGATTATTTATTAAAATTGTTTTAAAGTTTTCTTTAAATCAACAGGAAGACCTTTATTTTTAAAATACAACAACTTATAACAATTTTTCTTCCAATTGAGATGAGCTTTATAATTAATTATACAAGTGAATAAAATAACGAAAATTTTAATTTTAAGATTTTTTGTTTTAAATTATCTGTGAATATTTGTCCTCAAACTCAACCCGGTGAATCTCTTGAGAACTCCAAACAGCGTCGCCCTGTAGTCAGTTGCTAGTCAGCATCAGATATTGCCTGGCGATCAGGATAAAATCGTAAATTAGAGGGAAAAGAACATGGAGTTCAGCAAACAGATATCTGTCTTTTCGGCGATTTCATTCTTAAAAGCAGCTGTACAATCGCATTTATATACACTAGTTTACATGGATAGAGTTATTATTTATCTAATACCACACAGTAACAAAGATGATAATAATTTTCAGCTTGATATGAAAGTATGAAGGTAGGAATATAGATTATAAGGGGCTTGGAGACAAGATTGCAATTGGATTAGAAAACAGTAACAACGTATGCAAAATTAATATTTGATAACTAGAGAAATAATTTTAAGGTCGAATAAATGGTGATAAGTATTTTCAACTTGATATGGATTACAAGAGGCTTAGAAATAAAACTTACTCTGGGATAGAATGAATTACAGGTGTGAACAAAATGAGCATGGAAACAAATTGAAATCAAACTTTTTCAACTTGAAATGTAACTTAGGAGGTGTGAATATAGATTACAAGAGGCAAAGAAACAAAAATTACACAGGATTAGAAAATAATTGTAAAAGGGTTATTCTAAACGGATTACAAGTGTGATCAGGAGGAGCATGGAAACAAACTTAGAATAACCGTTCTTATAACTGAAAACAGAAATGGGCTGAATTGCATGAAGGCAGAGAGAGAAAATTACACACACATAGAACAAAAGATAAAAAACTGAAGGATAGGGGAACGTACCGAACTAGGTCCATGGTAGTTGTAAAGGCTGGACTAGTTTCTTTTGAACATATAGCTCTGGCTTTTCGATGCATATGGCGAGAACTTCCACAGTACAGAGAAGTCAGAAACACACTTCCTTTGGTATACTTTTGTTTACTTTGTAAATGACTCTGAATGATAGGTCGGTTGAGATTCTGTGACAGGTATTGAAGAGGTGTTCAGTTATTGCGCTTCTGATTGAACCAGTGCCTCCTCTTTGCAGCCATGCTGCATGATGTTCCCTAACACGTTTTGATAAGACCCTCATAGAACGACCTATGTACCTAGCTCTACGAGAACAGGTGAACTGATATGTGCACATTGAAGTGGTCATATGCGGAAGTCTGTCCTTCCCGTTGCTCTGAAGTAGTGGGCGATTAGAGAATATCACTCTCAGAGTTGCTGTTGGAAATGTCTTCTTCAAGGAATCGGAGATTCTTTTTTTAAGGATATCTGCTGATGCTAGGTTTTCCCTGAATTCCAGATTCAAATATAGTGTCTTCTTTTGAAATGAAGTGTATTCTTCTCTCTTTAACCTTGGTTTCATGTTCTTCCCCACGAAACGCAGTGGGTATTCATTTTGAACCAGGATTCTTTTGAGAAATATAAGCTCTGCTTCTAAACAGTCATCGCTGTAAATTATTCTGGTACGTTGGGCTAGTGAGATGATGAGGGCTCTTTTACGGCTGATAGGTATCCAACTGTAGAAGTTTGTCAGTTGGCCATTCCATGTTGGCTTTCTATGAATAGATCTTTTCAGAGTTCCATTATCTCTTCTTGTCAATTCGACGTCCAAGAATGAAATCCTTGATTGATTTTCAACTTCTATTGTGAATTTAATTGAAGGATGGCAATTATTAAACTCTTGTAAGATACAATTCAAATCGGAACTGACAGAAGTTAGAGTTCACAGTTCAATGAATGCTCAACAAGATTGGCCTCGTAACCCGAAGGTTACGGGTTGGATCCCTGATCGGTGGATGCCTATTGCCGAAGTGTCATAAACTGAGACGAAACAGCCTTCCAGTACTCTCTGCCGGTTTTCAGTAGTTATGGAATCGTTGAACATCTGGTCGATACTGATCACCTTATCTCTTCAATCCCTTCCTTTAAATTCATCTGTGAGACGAAAAATAACTTGCCTTAATCACCACGTATCCGAATCATCTGTATTACTGAAGCTTTGACCATCGAAATAGAAAAGTCACATTTCTGTATACAAAAATTGTGTGTTGAACCCATCCAACTTGTATGGTCTTAATCCGTCTATGCTGATGTGTCATAGCCCCCATTCATATTTTAGTTTAAGCTAATTTTCGTTTTGGTTACAGGATTTCATCATGAGCTGACATTGGTTAGGGAACCATTGGAAAACCTAGGAGTACTGGAATGCCAGCCGTTTCGTCCTAGTCTTGGATCTCGTCATTAGTACGCACCCGTTGGGGTTCGAACTCAGGACCTTCTGATCACAAGGCGAGCTCATATACCATTCAGCCACTGGGACCCAATCCAATCTCCAGTCCATGAGTTCGAACTTCTGCCAATTCACGACATAGCCTGTCCGCTACCCAATGTCTTCGCTGGCGATTATTTGTCCTCACACCCAACCTGCTGCACCCTACTGGTTATGACTTCCGACTAGAACCCCAGGTAACTGCCTACCTGAGTAGGGCCAGTCGCCAGTGAGCATCTCATCGATGTTCAGGTATTGGTTTGTAGGGATTCGATTGATTGGTTACAGGATTTCATCGCCTTGTAACCAGAAGGTCCAGGGTTCGAACCCCTTGTAGAGGGTGCGTACTGCTGAAGAGTTCCAAACTAGAACTAGAGAAACAGGTGTTTGGTACTCTCAGGTTCTCTAACCAATGTCAGCTCATGATGAAAACCTGTAACCAATCAATCAAATCCCTACAAACTATTACTTGAATATTTTTCGTTTTGTTTATTCAATGTGTATATGCTTCCATTATTACTTCGATTGTTGCTATTATTATTCTCACTTTGAAGTGGTTCCAGTATTATTTCATTCGTTCCACTTATCATTTTAAATCAGAATTGTTTTTCAAAATTTTAAGTTCTATACTGCCGAATTTCACACCATCTAATGTAGCATTCTTATTCGCCTACTAATTCTATAGTTTACACCCCCTTGTAACATTTATACATTCTATGATTTATCCTACATACATGGCATTATTTGTTTTGCCACTTGACATTCAAGTGTGATTATAATCACAAACATTTTAATCGCATTTCATACTACTATTATTATTATTATTTTATATATTCACACCTATGATTCAATCTCCTCACGGGATATAATTTCGTTAAAAAGAAACTATATATGTACGACTGTACAGCCTGATAATGAATTCGTTGATAAGAGTCTCTTCGCTGAATCCCTTGATTTGAATTTCTACATGTTACAACAGGAATTTTCCATGAATTTCAAAATATGATGATTCTTACATCCCTTACAAACCAGCTCTTAAAAATTAATCTGATGCTCGCTAGTGACTGGCTGACTACAGGATGGAGTTTCCTGAAGTTCTAGAGAGAAGCTGTGATCAGTGAGGTTCATCCAATCAAGTGTGAGGATGAAATTCCCACCGATAACATTAGCTGGTGCCATTCGCGCTAAATAACGAAGTGGTAGAAGTTAGAATTCATGAACTAGCCACTGAATTGGATCCCAGGGGCTGAATGGTATACGAGCCAGCTTACTTTGTGACCGGAAGGTCCTGGGTTCGAACCTTTCTGTGATGGGTGCATACTAACAATGAATCCCAAACTAGGACGAAAGAGCTGTCCAGTACACCATGCTGGTTTCCAATCCGTGGTCAAACTCGTGAAAACAAATCTAATCCTTACAAAGTAACTCTTGAGAAACATTTTAATTGCATTTCATGCTACTGTGGTGAGAGTTGTCTGCACGCCGAAATTATAGACAACAGTTTACGTCAATAGTTACATCGCGAATCAGGGTCATAAGAAAAAAAACAAGAACAATGCCTAACCTTGAGGAACTCACCAACCAGTCACAGCAGACTTAACGTGTGCAAATACGATTCGTTGGTATACAGCTTATCTTTCTAAGAAACAGTCACAAGCAGTATAAAATAACCTTGAGCAAGAAAAGAACCAATGAGAAGACGTTACTTCTCGTCTAACAATTTCGCTAAAAATAATGTACATAAAATTTCTATAAATGTCGGTTGATTTTCTCAATGAATGATCTGTTGCCTGGCCCTTGTCTTCTGTGGTTACAACCTTATCATCTAGGCATTAGATTATGATCCACTGATCTGACTTCATCATTTATTTCAATTCACTAGAAAGAAGAGAACACGAAGTTCAGCAAAGATGACTATCTTTTCGGCGATTTCATTTTCAAAAGTAACTGTACAATCGCATTTGAATACATAATTTTACATGGACACAATTCCATGTTTGATTCCACTTAATTACGATGACGAATACAAGGTGATAATTATTTTCAACCAGATATGGTTTTTACGAGAGGCTTAGAAACAAAATTACCCAGGATTAGAACGGATAACAAGCTGTGTAAAAATGAGCAAGGAAACAAAATTGAAATAATAATTTTAGCTTGAAATTGAAGTTGGAAGGTTTCGACACGTTTTATTGGAAAGAACATGAAACCTAAACCAAAAAGAGAAAATTGTGATTCAGCGCCATAGAAAATGCTGTATCTGAATCTGAATTTCAGGGGAGATTTGGCAGTCGATATCCTGAAGAGGAGAATATTCAGCTCTTTAAGGAAGTCCTTCCTTGCAGCAACAATGAGAGTGACATTCTCTAGCCATCTAATACTTCGAAACAATCCTAAGGACATACTCTTGCGTATGATCAATTCAATGTGTATATACCAGCTCACCTGATCATGCGGAGCTAGGTACATATGTAGCTGTATGCGCGTCCTTTCAAAACGTGTTAGAGAACATCACCCAGCGTGGCTGCAAAGAAGAGGCACCGGTTCAATCAGAATTGCCATTATTGAACATCATCTGATCAACACCTCCTCAACTGATTCTTTCAAACAAATTTACAAAGTCAACAGAAACCTGCCAAAAGCAGTATGTTTCCGACTTCTCTGTACTGTAGTAGCCCTAGCAGTATGCATCAAGAAGCCGGAGCTGTATGTTCAAAAGAAATTATTCCAACCTCTACAACTATCATGGGACCTAGTTTGGTATGTTCCCTTAGCTTCCGTTTTGTTCTTTGGTTCTCTTTTTGTATCATTTTTCGTTCGCTGTGTGTGTGTGATTCTTACTGTCTCTGTCTTCACTCGATTTACCCCATTTTTTCAGTTATACCAGCAGTTATTTTAAGTTTGTTCCCATGCTTTACCTGCTCACATTTATAATTCGTTTAAAATGACTATTTTACAGTTATATTCTAATCCAGTGGGATTTTTGTTTCTAAGGCACTTATAATCTATATTTACATTTCCTAACTCCTATCTCAAGTTGAAAATTATTATTTCAATTTCGTTTCCATGCTCATTTTTACACATTTGTTGTCCGTTCTAACTATTCCTGTGTAATTTTGTTTCTAAGCCTCTCGTAAAAACCATATCTAGTTGAAAATAATTATCACCTTGTATTCGTCATCGTAACTAAGTGGAATCAAACATGGAATTGTGTTCATGTAAAATTATGTATTTAAATGCGATTGTACAGTTACTTTTGAAAATGAAATCGCCGAAAAGATAGTCATCTTTGCTGAACTTCATGTTCTCTTCTTCCTAATATTCCAATTCACTTCACTTTTACTCCGATATTGTGCAGTATCAATGTGACGTAATACTTATTTTCAAGTTTTATTTTTTTCCTATTTATTTAACCATTTAGTGCATAGATCGAACACGTCAAATGACTGTCGAAGAAGTTCGTGGACTTATGAAACAACTTACTGACAAATTTAATGCAAAAGACAATGGTGATTTATACAATATGGCGAATCAACCAGTATCAGGAGTCGGCAATGTAATAGAACAAATTGAGCATGTGAAAAATCATTTAATTAAATATGCCAAACAAGATAAAGAATTCTCAGCGGCATTATCTCAAGCAAAAATTGGTAATGTAAGTGAATGAACCTTGAATAAAAAAAAAGACAGGTGGCATAATGAATGATCGTCAACCTTTGAGTTCAGTTTTTTTTGAGCCTCAGTAAACTGATGTTATTAACGACGACTAGGCTGAAGGCGTTTTTTTCGTTCATTCACGTTTCGAGTGGAGCATAGGGCTTCAAGCTGGAGGCTTAAAGTTTCTGGCGTTTGTTTATACAGGATGCAGTTGCTAGCCTAATGCCCAACCTTTCCTCTTTACCAGCTTTATTGCTGGTTTAGAGACGTAAAGGAGTGCGTCGTTAGCTGGGTAACAGAACCCCGGACTACGTGAGGCGTGGTTTGGCAAGCATTATGGTTGCTGTTGGCGTTCCAATAATGGTACATCCATCGAAGGAGAGGGCTCTCGAGTGGTTGCACCACAGGATGATACTTCATGCTGGTCTTGTCTCGTAAATGACAGGGATAGATGTGTTCGGTTCTCTTGAAAACCAGTAGCCAGTCAATGAGTGTACCAATATGTTGTAGGTGTTATCGATAGATCTGGGACACCGTATTCATCTTTTTAGATACCGTTTTAGTACATTTTCATCAGTATGATTTAGTTTATTAATCATATGAGTTTCTGTTGAAATACATCCCCAAGGGTACGGATGCCTCAAAGTGGATCAGACCCCGCTTTCTATTTGTACTGAAGACACTACACTGAGATTCGTTTTCATACAGATGAGTAATCCTAAAGAAGTAAAGTCCTTATAATGAATTTGAATCCAATCTATTTTTTAAATGTGACTAATATCGCACCACGGTGAATGCAACCAGCTCATCTGAAGAAAATCATCTTGAACCATTAGTCTTGGAATTACTGGCTTTAATTTATTTTTTTTATTTATTTTGATTTACAGCTTGATTTTACACTGTATTTTTGGTACAAGTATGGAATTTTCAGCATGGATATCGGTAGCAGGCCGAGGTGTGCGTCGGCAGGGGATCGAACCTCGGACCATGAGCATGGTCGGCGAGAGTCCTAACCACTGTGCCACCGACGCACAAAAGCGTGTGTCGGAGGTGGGTTTATCAAATAAACTGTAGTCAAGATTTGACAGAATAGTTCTAAAATATAACTGGGCGCCGAGTGAGAAGTAGACATTTGTAAAAAATTATATTTGTAAAATCTCAGCGAAATTGAAATGAGTAATTCCAGCGTTTCGTTCGGCAATTTGGTCCGAACTTCTTCAGGAAAATTAATCGAAATTAACATAACAAAGGTTTATATATAAAAGGAACATCTCTTGTTTTTAAAACCTTTGTCCAATCATGATTTATAAAACAAATATTAACAAGTATAATAAACAAAATGTACGAGTTATGATCAAAATTTGACCTCAAACTTACAAATATTGATTTACCTTTGTTAAACAGTATACAATTGGTGGATGGTGGCTAGCAGTGGAATCCAGGATGCGCATTTCGTCCTACTTGGGACTCGTCACCTTTGTTAAACACTTTAAACACAGTGTGTATGTGTGTGTGTGTGTGCGGATAAACAGTTGTAAAACAATGTCTTAACGTCTCCATAAGTAGATATAGACAGTCGGGAACTCTGACCAAGTATTATTAGTTAGTGATACATATCCATTCTTATTTATTAATCAGGATTTCCTATGCATCAGCTAACATCACACCTTCATGTCTGTTCAAACTGTTAGTATCTAGAATTTTATGATTAGACGTATATTTTCAAAATTATGGTGTTTAGGATTAGAGTTTAGTTGAAGCACCCTGTCAAACTTATTACTTTGTCTTCTTTCTGAAAATTGAGCTGATTTATTCGACCTATTGGAGTTGTCAGGTGACTGGACAAATATAATTTTTTACAAATGTTAACTTGTTTAACTAGAGGAATGTTCATTTAGAATTCGATATCTCTATATAGCCAAATTATGTACACCTTATCTTCAGCACACCATTTTCACAGATCTTCCGTGTTGTCCTACTTCTGGCCTTCACACTGTGTTTCTTTGTGCATCTTTCACCTCTCCTATGTATCTTCGCAACGCTTTATAATTTTCTTTCTCTGGCATCAAGTATATCTCCCTGCTCACTGACGACTAGCCTTATTCAGTTAGGTCGTTACCTGGGGATCTAGTAGGATGTCGTGACCAGTAGGGTACAGGAGGTCGGGTGTAAGGACAAATACTCGCCAGTGAAGACATTGGCTAGTGGTCGCGCTATGTCGTGACAATTAAGCCACTAGGACTCGCCAGTCCAATGGTCAGCCAGCCCATGAATTCCATCTATTTCCCTTCTATTTCCCCATTACACAATTTCCTCCATATTGTCACGGGAAGGTCCGGGTTCAAAATCCCTGTGGTGAGTGAGTAGTGATGAAGAGTCTTAGACAAGGACGAAACAGTTGGCTGTCTAATGGCTCTCTAACCGATTTTAGCTCATGATGAAATCTTGTAACCTATCTCCCTGGTATTTGATGTTTTTATGCCGATGAACATCTCTTTATATGCTACTAATAAATCTTATAAGTAGAATACGCCACAGCAGCAGTAATTCACACTCAGCTATACTTTCATTAACAGTAATAAATCGGCTCTCCATGACTTACCATACTACGTATAGTTGTCAACAAAAAGCCTATTCCTTTATATTTGTAATGAGTGCTATTCATTAGTTAAAACTAAAAATGGAAACAGACCATATCCTGAGTTGCTTCAGTACCCTCTTTTTAGGAAAAGAGTATACTAATGATCAGATGTATGTCTGGTTTATTCATCATTAATTCATATTTTTGTGCATGTATGGTCATGGATTTACAAACTAACAGGTTTCTCATCACATCATTCAAAATTTCTTTATTCAGTATTAGGTGACTAATTAGTTTATGAGGTTATCTAAATGATTATTATTCTCTTGGGTTCCAAGTGGAATATGGTGTGGCCTTCAACAGTACATCTTCATTTCGTTCTGTTCTTTGCAGTCGTTTTGGCTAGCTACACAACTGCCAATTTTCTTTTATTTCGTCCAGACACAATTTCGTCAATATTGTTCTTTGACTCACGCCTAATTTATTGTTCTTCACTCAGATTTCACGCAATTGTCGCCATAGGGTATATCCAATCCATCTTGATTTAATCCTCCATGTTTGCTGAACGATCGCTTTTTATTTGATTCTTTGTTAGAGTTTCTTTTTGTTCTCCCCTTTCAGCTGATCATTTGATCTTAAGCTTCCAGTAAAAGCATCTGTTGATTCAATTATTATTATTATTATTGTATCCTTTAATTCCTAGAGGAACATAGGGCTTCAGCCAAGCGTCTCCATTGCGTTCAGTTCTCTGCTAGAGTTTTCACCTGGCTCCAAGTCTGCCCACATGCTTTCATCTCCTCTTCACATGACCTACTTCAAGTCACCCTTGGACGACCAACTCACTGCTTCCCTTTCGGGTTCCACTCGAGCAATGGCTTGTCTAGTGATGTCACTTGTTGGTTTCCTCAGAGTATGGCCAGCCAATCCATCTCCATTTCTTCCTGCACACAGTCGATTCATGCTGAGTTGGTTCGCTCCCAGAGATTCCTGTTACTGATCTTTTCTGCCTATCCGATCTTGAGTAGTATTGGGCGAAAACAGGTGTTGGTGAAGGAGTGTAGTTTGTTTGAGATGCTCTTTATGACGCGTCAAGTTTCTGATCCGTATAGCAAGTAGCACTGACTTTACATTGGAGTTGAAAATCCGGATCTTATTTTCATTTTTCATGATGAGTGCTGTTGATCTCCTCCACACAGACTTGAGAGTAGTGAAAGCTTGTCTTGCTTTTCTGATTATTGCATTGATATCCTCATCAGTTCCGTCGGCCTGTAGTTGAAACGATGCTTCCCAGGTATGTGGGTAGGTGAAGGAGGTTGTTTCTTTCAGGTTCCTCCCATTTATGCTGGCTGATTGTTGTCTGTTGTTGTTGTTACTGTTGGTGTTGGCCAGGAATCTTCATCACCTCTGTTTTCTCTATGTTCACCTGAAGTCTTATCTTTGATGCTTCTTCTATAGCCAACTTGTTTCTTTTCACTTGCATATCTTCCAGTTTGTGGGAAATCAGTAGCTTATTTGAAAACAATTATGAAATGAAAGCCGGACACTTTAAAAATGACCACTAAAAACAGTTGCAAGATGTGACTCATAACTGTAGACATCAAGATTATCGGAGTAACTAGTCTTAAGAGGTTATCCGTTGCAGTGGACATCTTAAGGAGCAATTTCCGTCAGTGAAATTAGATATTCTTCATATTGTTTGCTGACTGTTTGATGTAAACGAGCTTTCAAGAGCTTTCAACATCTCAGTTAAAAGTTCATATGCTTATGTTTGTGGTTTGTATCCACCTCAATAGATCAGACGTCACTTAGTTTACGAGTTTACTAGCCAGAGAATCATGTTAGAAGATAGGTAGTCGCGGTCAAACCAAAACATGAAATCAGTCAATAAAATTCACAACAGTTAGTTTAAACCTTTTAGGAAGGTGTAGAGTGCCTGAACGAGACTGGTCGGGGTCCTCGCAATGATAGTGAAAACCAACGATTGCTAAAGACAATTATTGATATGGCTCAAAATCCTCATTGTCGATCGCTGGCTCAGATGCATTCATCCTTTGTGATTTATCATATCCAATAAAACTGTACTGTTCTTCCATAATACTATTCTTTTTGCCTCACTCGCACTTCTGTTTATTATCTCTTTTTTGAAATTTATGTGCTCACTGAAAGGAGTGTAGTAACTTGAAATGCTGCACATTTGTGCAAAGTTCTACGTTGAGTCCAGTCAGTCAGTTACTAGCTGAACCTAAACCTAATAAAAGACGGAAGGTTGGGCGTGGTGATAGCGATCCAATCGCTACAGAAAGTTCAGTACACAGAGAATATTTCCGAAAAATATACACCATGTATTTTGACATGTCAATAATTATTGCTTCATGATTTTACGATGAAAACAACCGGAATAAATGATCTTCGACGTTACTTCAACTTATTTTTCAGAAAAATGTTCTTTAAACTAAGTCTTGTTTAGATTGTCCAACTAGTCTACAACTTAATCAAAACCAGAAATCCAAAAGACTGCGAGAATTAAGACTCCATACATTTATTCCCCTTTAATGAATTTGAATAAAACAACAATTACAGCGTTTTGTGCAGAATAAAATCGTACCATCATTACTTGTTTCCTTGGCTTCTCATCAGCTTCTTACCGCCTAAAGACATTATTAAGTTTATGTACAGAAATAATTTTAACATACTTGCACAGACAGTTCATTTCTAAACAAAAATCAATCAATCAATATATGCATACAATAATAATATATAAGGTAGTAAACACTATCCGGAACAATAATAATCATACACATTGGAAACTTCTGGCGTTACGTAATCAGATGAAAGGAAGGATGAAAACATCCAATTCCCAGGATGGGCAAGGAGAGACTGATAACTGTTTCTTTCTGAACACATTAATCAGGTTTCAGGCACTTGATGGAGAATTCGTCGGCAGATTTGAGAAGGATTAAACCCTTTTGCCTATTGATAATTATGAACCTCATGATCCGTGTCAAACAGATGCCGGATGATGCCACTATTTAAAGCCTTTGTTCCTTTGAAACATAGGCTTTTTGTTACATATTCAGAAAATTGGAGGTATGCTCTTCTTTCTGTTCTTCCAGTGTAACTGCTCCCTCAGGTACATGTAAATTTGTATACACATTTGGAGTTAACATGAGAAGGCTTTCTGTTGACTTTTGATTGCGTCCAGGAGCATGTTGTTGGATAGACGGAAACCTGCCTAACTGCAGGTTAGGCTGTGGCTAGTGACGTTCTCAATCTTCTGTTGACTATTGCTGTAATATTTTTCACCTTTAAAATCAATTTGAATGAACCATGTTTCTGTAGATATACTTCAAAATGTCTTTGGGGTGTCAGCAGCTGAGCTGATGAGATGTCATCGAAATAAACAATGAGAATGATATCCTTTTATCTTGCAAAAACTGTTGTTCATGCTTTATCAGAATTAAAACTGCTGATAGTTTATATATATCCAAACCAAGTTCACTTTTAACGGTTTGAAAACATTTGGGCATTGGGTGTATGATATTCATTATAATAAAGGTTTTTGTATTTCCCAATGAATGAAAAACAAAACGAGATTGTTTTTACTGACGTTTCGCTATTTAATGCCGTTAATAGCTTTCTCAAAGTATTGTTAAACCGGAATTTACATTATCTCAGGATATATATAACAAAGAGTTAGGAGGTGAGAAAAATATAGACTTAGTTCAACTTAAAAGGACATATTGAAAGTCAAAATAACAATGAAGATCGTTCAAACCAAATATCAAAGGTAATAGTATATCTGTTATTATATCAAAATAAAGTTTACTAACTTGATCATCGTTCGTTAGTCTGGGGTCATTTTTGGTTGTCATGTTGGGGAGTAGGTTTAGTTACCTTTACCTACTCCCCAACATGACAACCAAAGATGACCCCAGACTAACGAACGATGATCAAGTTAGTAAACTTTATTTTGATATAATAACTAGGTCTATATTTTTCTCACCCCCTAACTCTTTGTTATATATGTATGCTGAGTGGATTTTGTAAATTCCGGTTTAATAATACTTTGAGAAAGCTATTAGCGGCATTAAATAGCGAAACGGCAGTAAAAACAATCTCGTTTTGTTTTTCATTCATTGGGAAATACAAAAACCTCTATTATGCTGATAGTTTGCCTACATCCATTGTTTGATAAACATTTGAAAACCTATAGCATAAAAATAAATGTCTTATTTAAGTATTTAGGATATATAAATGTATATGAAGAGTTTGACCACGGATTGATATCAGTTAGAGAACCGTTGAAAACCATAGGGTACTGGACAGCTATTTCATTCTAGTTTTGAAATCACCGGTGGTGCGCACACACTGCGTCTAAACCCAAATTTCCTGGAGTTCTAGTGAAAAGTCGTGACCGGTGAAGTCCATCCAGTCAAGTGTGAGAATGGATTTCCTACCGAGAACATTTGTTAATGATCGCGCTAAAAAATCACGAATTATTAGACTTTAGAATTAAGGGGTTGGCTGGCCATTGGACTTGCGGGTCTCAGAAGCTGAGTGGTATACGAGCTTGCTTGTGACTGGGAGGTTGTGGGTTCAAGCACTGTCGGTGGGTGCGTACCGCTGATGATTTCCAAACTAGTTAGATTAAACAGTTGTCCAGTACTCCATGCTGGTTTTTTCTAAGTTTAAGATAATTAGTCCCTATTATAAATTTGCATAGCATTATTAAAAGACGGAGATTATCTGAAAAACGAAGTGATGTGTATTTGCGCTATACATTTCGAACAATCTGATTCCTCACACATTAACTTGTCGAGTCGATATATATGAAAAGCTGTCGCATTGGGCCACCTCAACGTGCATACACCAGTTTACTTGCTCTTGTGGAGCTGAGTACGTTGGCCGTACCATGCGCCGACTTGAAAAACGCTCTCGTGAACACTATCCAGCCTGGCTAGTAAAAGGAGAACGAAAACGGGTAAATAGTTCGGTGACAGAACATCTGGTGAATTCAGGACATTCAGCGCCACTCGAAAAATCCTTCAAAATCATTTACAAGATTCGATCAAACCTATCAAAGGGAGTAAAATCAAGACATCTGGGCATAGTCGAGGCACTAGCCATCCAAAAGCTCAAATCCACACTGTATTTTCAAAACAAATACGTCCAACCCCTGTCCTTGCCATGGCCATCATAAACAGGTAATTTTTAGTAATCACCATCCCATCTCCTTTCTTATCTAAACTTCCTGTTTATTCATGTTATTTCAAGTTTTTCTTAATCCCTGTTTACACTACCATATTTTCATACCCGAATTTGGTGTTTATTTTGTCATTTTACTATTTCTACATATTTAATCCTGATTGCATAAACAATTATTCATCACATTAGTTCTTATCCAAACATCCTGTCTATTTTGTTATTTCTACGTTTCTAACCCCTAATTGCACAATGTCAGTCTTCTTAGTTATTTTAATGCTATTTTGTTTGTTTTATCCATCCCCCTGTTTATTATGGCATTCTAATTCCCAATTTTAATTTTTATTAATTTAACCCTTGACCGGAAATTATTCTTGAACTTTCCCATCCATTTGATAAAAATACACGAATGTACAGCCTAGATGATGACTTCGTCGAAAAGAAAATTTTCTTCGCTGCAACTGTCTTCTTATTTACTCCTATGAACCAATGTGCATATTCCGTGATATATGAAAACATTAAGGGCAATTAAATTAAACAAAGTGACAAAAAAAACGATTTAAGAATGATTAACACAATGTTTGGTAATCCAGTCAAATAAGGATTACCAAGATAGGTAGGTTAAGAGTAATAACAAACTGTTTTTGAATACACAAGAGGGGCTTAAGTTTATGAATAGCTATAGCCTCAGCGTGTTTCAGTAAACGCACTTGACCCTTCTTATAGATGACCTTAAAGGGTGAGTTTACATCGATCTTATAGTTCATTCCGATTAGATGTTTAGCTATAGACGAAGTTGGTAGTCTGACACCTGCATCTATTAGCTTGTCACAATTCATCTGTTTTTCTAACCATTTTGGGATATGCTCTCCCACCCTCAGGTGCAAAGCGCGATTACTCCTCCCTATGTATGTGTGTCCACACACAAACACGAAAAATTGTTAAATAGTGTATGGTGCGAAATAATCACTTGTACTCTATTGAGGTTTGCAGTGGAGCATATTTGTAGCTTTCTCGACAATTACAGGCTTGGCTGCATAATAGGTTCTACGAATGATCGAATTCAATCTTTGTCTCAAAATCCTAATGTTTATATCCCCGTTATATGGTAATTTGATGACGACATTTTTCTAAGGGGCGGTATAGATTGTAGGTTGAGAGACTAATTCACTTCTACACCTGTTTAAAATTTTTAAAGGATATCCCCGTTTTCAACAAGAGTATCCATTAATATTTCGTTTTCTTTGTCTATAACGTCAGCAGTGCAAATACATTGAGTCCTCTTAAATAGACATTTCATCAAGCCTCTTTTATACTGTAATGGACAGAAACTATGAAAATTAAGGTATTGCCCTGTCCAAGTGGGCTTTCTGTAAATTGATCGTCTTATTGAGCCATCATCTCCCTTCGACTCAGAAGTATGTCTAAAAATGCAAGCTGGTTGCGACTTTCTTCCTCGCATGTAAGACTAATATGATTCTGTACAGAGTTAAGTCTGTCTAATAGACTACTTTTCTAAGTGATATCAATCCGTGGTCAAAATTTTAAAATAAAAACAAATTTAATCTTTATAAAGCAACTCTTGACAGTTTAAATTTCCCTATGTGTGTAACACAATATCTATATTGATTTCCGATATATGTATATTAGGTGATTTCTGCAGATTTTGATGAAACTGACGATAGTTACCTACTAACAATCCATCTTGATAAACCAATGAAAACTGAACAACCAAGTAAAACGTCACGTCGTCCTAGTGAAAATAAACAAAGTCAAAAGAAGCCGGCATTGCCAACGAAATCTGTAACACCGAATAAACCAAGTTCACCAGCTAGTGGAAGTGTCCCTAATTCACCAGAAAAAGTAAGTTACTTTCGCTAACATGCTTTGATATTGGAAAAGAAAACGAACCTCGCCAGATACTAGCTTGCTAGGCTACTAGCTTACTAGTTTTCTCGCCGGTCCCAAGCACGGGTAAACAGGGAGGGTTGGGGCGTGGTGCTAACAACTCCACCCCTGTAAAACAACCAAGTCGCTACAGAAACTTCAACGAATAAATATATCAAAAATTCTAAAAACATAAGCAATAGCCTTACTTTTCGCTGGAATCGGGGAAGTGAAATGACGCAGGCAGGTGAAAGCTAGCCTTCGGGAAACCAGTCAGCCGATGTGCCTTCTTTCGATGAAAGCAAAAGTAAGGATGGGTACCTGGAATGTTCGTACAATGTACGAAACTGGAAAAGCTGCCCAGATAGCCGCTGAAATCATGCTCCTATCGACGCCAAGTAAATTCCTGAGTCGCATCATTCTGGAGAGATTAAAGGACGCACTGGAGACAGAACTCCGACCAGAACAAGCTGGATTGAGGAAAGGCAAATCATGTACTGACCAAATTGCAACTCTACGCATCATCATCACAGAACAAAGCATGGAATGCCAATCAAACCTCTACCTCAACTTTATAGACTTCGATAAACCCTTCGACAGCGTTGATCGTGAAGTAATTCGGAAATTACTCGAGTACTACGGCGTACAGTGCCCCAAATATCCATCAACCTTATTCAACAGCTGTACGACAACGGCACATGTCAAGTGATCCACAACGGAAATCTCAGCGAGGCGTTTGGAGTAAACACAGGAGTCAGACAAGAGTGCTGGTTTATTATCACCAGTGATATTCCTAATTGTGGTGGACTGGATTATGATTCAGACAGTGAGTGGGAAACGAGAAGACAGGGATATCCTGGACCGACGTGAAGAACCTAGAAGACCTGGATTTCGCGCGTAGATGATTTATGTTTGATGTCACACACAATCGAAGACTTGCAAGCGAAAACCGACAAACTGGTCGAAGAAGCATCCGGCGAAGGCAGGACTCCAGGTAAACATAGACAAGACGGAGGTTATGAAAATAACTAACCAACAACAGCAACAACATCCAGCGCCAATCACCATCAACGGGAGGGATTTGAAAGAGGTTACTTCATTCACTCACTGATCTACGGAGCATTGTCTCAACTACAGGAGGAGCGGACGAGGATGTCAAATCGAGCGAGAATCGGGAAGGCGAGAAACACATTCATCAGCCTGAAATCAATCTGGAAATCTTCGTCACTCAGCATCACCAACTAAATTCGGATTTTCAATACAAACGTCAAGTCAGTCAGTTCTTCTATACGGATCAGAAACTTGGCGGGTCACAAAGAATATTTCCAAAAGGCTGCAGACCTTTATTAACAGCTGTATTCGCTGGATCTGTACTGAAGATCAGATGGCCGGAAAGAATCACCAACAAGGAATTATGGGAACAAACAAAACAAGAACCAATCGCCAATCAACAAATATGCAGGAGAAAGTGGAGATGGATCGGACACTCGCTGAGGAGACCGCTGGGTGACATCGCGCGCCAAGCCCTCGAGTGGAACCCGAAAGGGAAGCGGCGTGTGGGACGTCAGTGCAAGGGTGACATGGAGGAGATCGAGTGAAGAGGAGTTGAAAGAATATGGATTAACATGGATGCAGGCGAAAAGTATAGCAGAAGACAGAAGAAAATGGAGACGTGCAGTTGAAGCCCTATGTTCCACTAGGAACCCAAGGGAGCAATAATAAAAAATAAATAATAATAATAAACGTATGGCGCTATGTACTACTGACTAAGCCATATAAGTAGGCGGTTACCACTTATATCAACCAGCAGATGAAATTGAACATTTCGAATTAGATTGTGTGTATTATTTGTGGAAAATTCTCATTGAGGCATATAGAAAATCGAACCAAATGATACAGAGAAGAGACTCATTTCAATGAATTTAATATCAAGCTGTACAGTCGTGTATATGTAGTTTGTTTTAAAGGAATTATATCCCGTGAGGAGATTGAATCATAGGTATTTAAATTCCAGGGGAAAATATACAAACAAACTGAGGGAGTTTTCATAGGATCACCAATATCCTCGGTTGTGGCAGATATATTCATAGATAGGTGGAAAAACATGGCGATTTAAAAGTTCAGCTCCACCCCAAAAGTATGGTGGAGGTATATAGATGACAGATTCACTGTACTTAGAACACAAGATATAGATAGATTTTTCGAACATATCAACTCAAAGGGGGAGGTCATTCAATTCACTTATGAATTAGAAAGTCAGGAAGGGGAACTTCCAATGTTAGATTGTAGCGTAAAAAGGAAAGAAGATGGGAAGTTAAACCCATCCTAGTGTGTTTACAGAAAACCCACACATTAAAACAGATATTTGAACTTCCGAACATCCCATTCTATGTCAGTGAAAATAGGACTAGTGAAATGTTTAAATAATATGGGACAAAATCGAATAGTATCAAGGAAAACCTAAGACAGGAAGTGTGGCATATAATAGGAGCTTTGAAACGTGATAAATACCCTGATAAATTAGTCAGGAAATATGTAAGGAAATCTAAGAATAAAATAAATAGTGATAATAGCGATAGTGATAATAACAATAATATAATATTAATGACGACATGCATATCAAATATGCGCAAGACAACACCAACAATAAGGGATCTAAATCGCCAGTAGTAATTCCATACAAGGAAGGGACCTCGGAAACCACCTTACGCAGAATTCTTAACAAGGCAGGCAGTAATAAAAGTGTCTGGCATTCAAACCATCCACAAACTGATTTAGAAACAAGCTTTTTCGGTTGAAAGATCATATGGAGCGTTTAAAACAAAACAATTTAGTTTATCTAATACCCTACTTGCAATAATTGTCAGGTCAAATACATAGGTCAGACTAATAGAACAGGGGCAGTTACTCAGACCAGCCGAACATAAAAATCTTCTAAAATCTAGATTAGTTGACCCGAATAAGATAAGAAATCTAGAGAATAGTTCAGCCGTAGCACTCACTACATGCAATCACACACAACCATACAATATGAGGATGGCATAATGTGACAGTTTTAAAATCTAATGTCACAGCGTGGAGGGAGAGACTGATGACAGCGGAAGCTTTGTTTATCGAATCAACTGCAAATAGCTCAAGTTTCCAAGTCGTGTGATTATAATTGATGGTATGATTATGAACAATAAATTTTGTTCAAAACATCATCCAGTAAATAATACTGTTTCACTGACTGTGTGATACATTTAAAAAACAAACTAATTTGGAAAATCTTCACCTTGTTCTGTTTTGGTGCTGTCTTGTTCAGCTGGGTTCACGATTGACCATAATCTCTTATCTCCTGTTCGCCAAACGGTCTCCTCCATGTTACCGTCGCATGGAAAACCTACTCGTCGCTTCCCATTGGGATTCCACCTCAGTGATGGCCTGCATTGTCATTCGACGGCTTCTTCATCGACGTGTGTCCTATTCATCTCCATTTTCGCCTACATATTTGTTGAGTAACCGGCTATTGGTTAATTTGTTGCCAGAGTCTGTACACTTTTTAGTGGATTAATTTCCAATCTGATGCGTAATGCTCAAATACTATTGTTATCTACTGTGATGTTGTGTCCAGTGTAAGGTAAATCTAATAAATGAACAATATTACATAATACCGAAATTTAATTCATGAAATATATAAATAAATTTATCGATTATTTTTTCCTTATAGACAAGTCAAGCGGATAGTATTCCTGAAGAAATTAAGGCAGCACATGACAAATATCGTGAAGTAGAAGAATATCCAGTAAGTTTTCGATTTTTTTGTCTGAGCGTTACTCAATCTTTTAATTGATTAAAGATATTCAATAAAAGATTTAAAAGGTTGAGACTAGTGAACGAAAAATATTTTTGTTGATAAATTCATCAGGCTCTATAGTTACATATCCATTTTCAATCACGGAATATGCACATCGGATCATGGGGAGTAATAGCAAGATAACGGTTGCAGCGAAGAAAATCTTCTTTTCGACGAAGTCACCGTCAACTAGGAGGCTGTACAGTCGTGTTTTTATAATATATGGGTGGAAAAGTTCGAGAATAGTTTCTGGTCAAGGGTCAAATTAATAAAATTACAATTAGGAATTAAAATACCATAATAAACATGGGGAGGGGGACGGATAAAACTCAAACAAAGTAGCATCATAATTACTGAAAAGATTGACGCTGATTGTGCAATTAGGGGTTAGAAATGTAGATATAACAACAATAGACAGGATGTTTGGATAACAAAATCTAGTGGGATCATAACTAATGTGACGAATACTGGTTTATGCAGTCAGGGATTAAATATGTAGAAATAGTAAAATGACAAAAGATAGTCAGGAAGTTCGGATATTAAAATATGGTAGTGTGAATAGTGGAGGGATTAAGAAAAACTTAAAAATAACAAACAGGAAGTTTGGAGAAGAAAAGCAATGTGGGATAGTCGCTATTAAAAGAATCGCCTGTTTATGATGACCACGGGAGGGACAACGGTTGAACATATTTCTTTTGGATACAGAGAGTGGGTTTGAGATTTTGGATGGCTAGTGCCTCGACTATGCTCAGATTACTTAATTTTACTCCCTTTGACAGGTTTGATCAAATCTTGTGTATTATTTTGAAGGATTTTTCGAATGACGCTGAATGTTCCGAATCGACCAGATGTCATGTCATCGAGCCATATACACGTTTTTGTTCTCCTTTTACTAGCCAGGCTGGATAGTGTTCACGAGAGGGTTTCGCGAGTTGGCACATAGAACGGCCGATGCAGTCAGCTCCACACGAGACAGTTAACTGATATATATATGCACGTTGGAGTGGCCCAATTCGACAGCTTGTCTTTCGCGTTTTGGCTGAACCGTTTCTTCTCAGGAATTATGATGCTACTTTGTTTGATTTTTATCCGTCCCCCTCCACGAGTTTATTATGGCATTTTAATTCCTAATTGTAATTTCATTAATCTGACCCTTGACCGGAAATTATTCTGGAACGTTCTTACCCATTTATTATGAATACACAGTGACTTCGTGGAAAAGAAAATTCTCTTTGCTGCAACTGTCCTTTTATATGCATTTTACTTAAAGAATATTTTTATGTTGATAACGCTGACGTTTCTTAAATAACGTCGTTTCATTAACACCAATAAATGATAGTTCAAATGCATCTTTAGGTGATTATAAGTCTATAATGTTTCGGTATTCTGTGTTCTCCTCACACCACCACCACCTCATCCATGTCATCTTCAGACCCATACACAACTTAATGTTTTCCATTCGGGCTCCACTCGTTGGTTAGGTTTGTAATGTCACTCAATGGACTCCTCACTGTGTGTCCAATCCATTTCAAATTTCTACATATTTGTTCAGCAATAGATTCGTTGTACTAGTTCCTTATTGCTTATCCCTTCTGGCTGGTCATCTGGTATACAGTATGGAGTAGAGATGGCCATTGACGAATGTCTGTAGCCTACTGGAATCGCTTTTTTGTGACACGTAAAATCCCTGAAATATGCTGAAGTGTAATGGCTTGACATTAGAGTTCCAAAATCTGGATCTTGTTCCCTACCTATGCTGTGTGCAACGGAATTCCACAGAGATTTTACAGTGGTGAATGCCTGTCCTGATTGGCTGTGACATTCTCGTTTGTTTAGACTGTGGTTGAAGTGATGCTGTCAAGGAAAATGTGAGACAGATGAAACTTCCTTTAGATTTCTTTTGTTTCTTCCAGTTAGTGCCCGTTGTGTTGTTGTTGTTGTTGTCAGTTAGGTATCTTTGTCTTCTCTGTCTTCTCTATTTTCGTCTGAAGACCAGACTCCTCTGCAACTTCCGCCAACCCATTCGTTTTCATCTTTAAATTATCGACTGCGTGACGTCGGACATAAGTCATACACAAAATCTAGATTGTTCATAGACCTTTAACTTGTCCAAAGCATGCCAGTCTACTCGCTGCCCACAATAGGTTACATGGTCCAGTCCAAACAGGTAAATATTAGATAAGTTCAGATAAATGGTACAGAATTTATGAATTTATAGGCTTCAAAGTAGGTTAGAGTTGTTTCAAGCAAATTGCAATGTCCTTTGCTGTTTACACGATTCAGTTTCTAGGTGCTTCTGACAATTTAGAAAGTACTCCATAAAAGGCAGAGAAAGATTCTTCCATTCTGGCTTAATGACTTGTTCGGTGGATCAAATGTTATAATATCGAACTGTTGATGGTCTTTGCTACACCTTTATTTAGCCCTAATGGTGCAGACCGCCTGCTTACAAATGTTGTTCTTTGCTGAACAACTAGGATGCCTTCATACAGGGATGACTTAAGTGAAACTGTGTCTGGAATGAAATGATTTGATGGAATCCAGGTTGAGAATCGTTGTTCCCACTGGGACTCGAACCCAGTGGCCGTTATTTCAAACACCAATGTGCCATCCAGTAGACCATCTGGGCCATGACAACTACGTCTTTTTAAGATGGGCATCAGTTATTATTTAGTTTTAATTCAATTTTCAATTTTATCGTCAGTCACTAAAATATACAGGTGCATCCGGATGACGAGTCTCAAGTAAGACGAAATGCTCATCTTGAATAATTTGGTGAGGATCAAGTATTCTAGTACTGCTCAGATGTGGGATCGATTAGGAAAGAAAGATTTAGTTCACGTGGAGGTGTCATGAGTATAAAAAACTTCAGCAGGTCATCATTGGGAAATTTTTTTGAGGCGAGTTCGTGTCATGAATGGTAAGCTGATGATTCCTATATTTCTTAGGAAAATCTTTTGCCAAGTCTCACTTTTCCTTAAACCGAATTTCATATATTTGTAATTACTGGGTTTTAAAACAACCTCTAAGAGATGCAGCTGCTGAAACTGAAAATAGTCTCGTATCGACAGTCCCAGGGTACCAGCACAGCAGGAATATCGTATCTTGGAAAATTGAGAGGCTTATCTCCTTATTAAGAGGAGAAGGTATCATCATTCATGTCAATGAAACTGTCTTATTAAAGAAAGAATACAGTGTAACAACAGAAGACAAGGGCCAGGCAACAGATCGTTTTATTACGGAAATCAACACGTATTTATATAAATTTCACAGACATTATTATAGCCTCGTCAAGTAGAAAAACGCAGTCTTCTGATTGGTTATTTTCGAGTTCCTGGGAAAGTGGAGCCATCTATCTGCGAATCATATTTGACCACGTTTAAGTTTTCTGTGATTGGTTGTTGAAACAGCCTTGTTCATATTTTCTCACGGCCCATATTAGTGACCTAGACTTTGACGTAGATTAATGTCAACCAATTGGATAGCAGGCTGCTCTCACCACAACAGCTGTAGTCGAGAACGAGCGAATAATGTTTGCGTGATTGGTTTATATATGATATCTCTCCACATAAAGGATTCGTTGAGAGGAGAGAAGATAGAAAGTCAAGTACTTTAATACCTATTATCACTCGGCTGGTGAAAAAAAGGTTTATAATACACACAGATGAGTGGAAAGGTTATAATTCCTTGTCATACCTTGAATATATTCATCACAATGTCAATCATTTTAGTGATTTTGTGTATTTCATTACAGGGACCTACACCAATTCTATCCAAGATTTTTAGGGAAGGTTAAAGAACAGGATTAGAGCCATTAATAGATCTCAAAATGACGTCATTTATAGTCATTTAGATTAATTTAGTTAAAGGATGCATTATAACTTTTCAGTTGATAATTTTGTGGTAAACTGAGAAATGTTTTAATCACATGTGAGAGAAAGTTTACAGTTTTCTATGCATTTTTTCATGGATATGTACATCCTATGCCCAAAATACCTCCTTCACGTGATTGGTGCGTCCAAGGTCCTTCGCTAACTGATAACTAGTGGTGCTTAAAGTTTAACTTTGCCGAAATGACTTATTGAGAAATACACATCATTCATTTACATGATAACCAGGTAGGAACGTTAATAAAAGAATCGAAATTTTCACTTTGTTTCACTTAGCTTAAAAGAAACTCTTTTTAACCCTTTACATTCCCAGTGGAACATAGAGTTTCAAGCTGGAGACTTCAAGTTTACTTAGCAGTGGTGTTCATTAATTACAGGATGAAGTTGTTATCCTCATGTCCAACGTGCCCTCTTTACCAGTCTTATATCTAGCTTAGCAAGGTAAAGGAGTACGTGAGTGGCCAGGGATCGAACCTCGGACCACATGAGGCATGGTTGGTGAGCATTCTATCTCTGTGCCACCGACGCTTGAAAGAAATGTAAACAAAAGCAGTCAGTGTATTACTTATTGCGTAATCAAGTTCAAAATTATAGCGATAAACAAAGGCTGATATATAGGAATATTACAACAAGACTGATGGACAATTTGACTGAACACTAGTTATTATTTAGTTTCACGAGTCTTGTCCTTTGTTCAGTCCAGACTTAATTCTATCAGTCAAGTTAGCAAGGTGGCCAACATGTCACTAGGTGGCTCACCATAATTGTTCACTGTGAACTGTTGATATTAGGTGGTTATGGACAGTTGGCGTGAGTCGGGGGCACAGCGGTAGAATGCTCGCCAACCACACCTCATGTGGTCTGAGGTTCGATCCCCGGTCACCGATGCACTCCTTTACCTCGTTAAGCCAGTAATAAGACTGACAAGGAAGGAAGGTTGGGCATTAGACTAGCTACCCCTTCCGTAAACATAAACACCACTGATACAGAAACTTCAAGCTTCAAGTTTGAATTCACACTATGTTCCACTGGGAAGTTAAAGGAATAAGAAGACAATCGCCAGGAAGACCTGGACCAAAGCTTTGTGCTAGTTACCACTCACCATTCAGCAAAACGTATCTGCAATCTTGAAGGAGCTCTTGTCGCTTCTGAAATTTGAACCCGTGTCACCCAGTGTTGTAGTAAGAGATGTTACTACTGAGCTATTCGGGCTGGCTAGCGAATGACCTGTCTGAAACTCCTTACTGACGAGTGCCAACTGGTACGAAACTTAGGTTCAAAGCTTCCTGTCGATCGCCTACAAACATCCAGTACTGATGATCCCATTTCTTAGAGATTTCTAAAAGAATATTCCGTCTAACTTTTTACATTAAGAAGTTAAAACACACAGGCATACTTCAACCCCTTCTCTCACAGTTTGTCGACTCGTGCATCTGACCTTTTCTTCTTTACTGTTCACACTTATTGTTCCCTGGATTGCTCTACAAAGACTATGTAATACTTCGTAAAACTCTGAAGACCGTCATTCAGTAGGGTGAGTGATATCCTTTTGAGCCATATTGTTGACGCTGTCACTGATAGGGACTTAATTTCATGCAATAAATTTGCTAAAGAAATTTTGTCAGACTGTGAGCATCTCCCACTTTACCCACAGTTCCAACCTTGTGTCTCCTCAGGTGAAACAAGAAGTCATTTCATCAAAATACTTTATGCACATACGTCTAAGTACAAATATTCCACTATAGCACATTTGGTGGCACGTATTTTATGTGATGAAAATAGTGTCAGACACGGACTAACTAACTAACCTTCTTTGCACTACTAAATAAACCATTTCCTCCACCCTTACACCATCAAACTTTATTGTTATTTTACTTCTTATATTTATAATCCTCTCAATTTTTTGGTTTTATTTGTTTATTTTCTAAAAAGTGTGAACATCATTTAGGCTGTGTTATAACTGTTAATTTTGTACTTCCCCTCACCATGCTGCTATATCAACAGAACATTAGATTCAATACTCTATAATAACATGCTAAAATTTCCAAACTGAATCGACGATACTGTTTGAAACAAACTTACTGTTATTACTAGTATCCTATTTTTATTATTCTCATTTTGTACTTCGAATATTTTTGACTTTATGTCGTAAATGTGGACAAATCCCTGTGGTTAATTTTATTTATATTTTAAGTAGATCAGATGCCATATTGTGACAAATGCTGAGAATTCCATTCTGTATTACAAGTACTGCCCGTTTTGAAATAAAGTAGACTATTATTATTAGATGAATGCTAATTCTGGCTAATAAAAGTGCAGGTTTCACTTGCTTATATTTATTACATTCTCTAATACCCACATTTTCATTTTTCTCATTTTTAAACTCCTACTCCAGTTAGAACCAACTTTAAAACCTTCAGCTGATTTCGATCCTGACAAAGACTGTGAAAAATTACATCAAGCTATGGCGGGTATGGGTACAAATGAGAAAGCTGTCATTGAAATTATGGGCCATCGGTCATCAGAACAACGTGTAGTCATAACACAACGATATAAGTCAATATTTGGTAAAGATTTAACCTCGAAATTTAAATCAGAAATGAGTGGCGCGCTATATGATTGTATGAAGGCATTGTGTTATTCACCTGTGGAGTTAGATGCACGTGAATTACGTAGAGCTGTTGAAGGAGCAGGTACAGATGAAGATGCTTTAATTGAAATTCTATGCTCTCGAACAAATGATCAAATAAAACAGATAAAAGAAACGTATACTAAAGGTAAGTAAGTATGGTTTGATGAATTCTCCATTCGATTAGAGATAGTTATAAATATAGCATTCAGGTTGACTTTTTTATAACTAAAGGTTATTCTAGAAGTAAATTAGTGGATAGTAACTAGAAGTGGAATCCTGGATGCGGATTTTGTCCTATTTTGGACATGTCAGTTAACTGAATGTACCTGCATTCTTTAGTGAGTAATGATGTTCCTACCGAGGCTCTCCGGGGATGAATTTCGTCGTCGTGAAACCTTTGTAATGAAAGAAGCTTTCAAGAATCTTAAATATAATTACATACAGTAGCTGGCTGACTAACTGACTGACTGGCTGAATTCTAACATAGAACTTCCCCCTAAAATGCACCTCTTCAAGCTGTCACACTCTATGTAGTACAAAAAGGTAGAAACGCTAGAAAAATTCAAAAGAACTGTACTGAGGGAAATGTAAAGAAGAAAGGACAAGTACATGGAAGAACACGAAGATTTGAAAGATTAAAAAGGGTGAATGCATGGACATCATTGAAAACGACTTTGTGCCATATCATCAATAGTAATACAGACGATGGGTTCCAAGGGAATATTATTAGCACAGTAAGAATAAATATATTTTTGGTGGTATGTTTACGCCTGAATACCATTCCCACAGTTTGACAGTGCATTAGCAACAGAATACTGTGAACATTCTATGATGACAGCTATCTGCTAGCCAAAGATTTAAACAACAATTTACGTCAATGTTAACGTCCCGAATTGTCTTCAGGAGAGAAAACAAGAATAAAAATTAACCTTGAGGAACTCAACAACCAATCACAACAGACTTAGTATGGGCGGAAAGGATTCTTAGATATAATATCACCACACTGTCAAAGAAACGGCCACAAAGAGATGACAGAACCACCTTCAGCAGGAAAACAACCAATCAGAAAACGTTACCTCTTGGCTAACAATAACGCCTAATAACAATGTACATAAAAATCTATAAATATCTCTTGATTTCCTTAATAAACGATGTGTTATCTGGCCCTTGTCTTCTGTGGTTACAAATGTATCCTGCTTACACAGCACTTACCAGGCGAAAGCCAATAAACTGGCAGAAGTGGCAAGCAGTAAAGACAGTACTCCAGGTGAACACAGGAAGACGGAGGTGATGAAGATAACGAACCAACAGCACCATCCACCATCACAGGAAGAGATTTGACAGAGGTTACTTACTTCACTTATCTGGTCAAGAAGCATGATTTCAACCAGAAGAGGAACGGATGGAAATATCGAAGCCAGCCAGAATTGGAAAGGCAAAAATAAGTCTCCATCAAACGTAAACCAGTTCGCAAATCCTCTGCACTCCTCGGCATAAACAAAAAGATTGGAATTCTGTTCAACAAAAAGGTGAAGTCAGTCAGTCACTTCTTCTATATGCATCAGAATCTTACACTGTGAGTCACAAAAAGGATTCCAACGAGTTACTGACATTTATCACTAGCTGTCCCTTTCACTGGCTCTATACTGAAGATCAAATAACTGGTCAACCAGACAGATTATGGTTGACGACAAAACAACCCATAGCCGATCGCTTAACACATACATAAGAGAAAATAGAGATAGATTCGGAAAACGCTGAAGAGGCCATTGAATAACATCACGCGCAATGAAAACCAATCACTTCAGTGAAATCCCATTGGGAAGCGATGAGTGTACCGTTGGTTTAAGAGTGACATGGAGAAGATAGGGTAATGAGGACGATGGGATGAGAGATTACGGGCAATCGCGGACCCAGGCAGCTAAATGAGAAGGCGGAGAAGAGAAAAAGGTGGGGATTTTTTTATTGAAGTCCTATGTCTCACTCATTCTGGAGAGATTAAAGGATGCACTGGATACAGAACTCCGCCCCACCAGAACAAGCTGGATCTAGGAAAGGCAAATCATGTGCTGACCAAATTGTAACTTTACGCATCATCATCGAACAAAGCATGGAATGGCAATCAAACCCGTACCTCAACTTTATAGACGCCGAGAAGTCCTTTAGCAGACAGCGTTCACCGCGAAGTAATTTGGAAATTACTCGTGTACCACGGCGTACAGTGCCCCAAATATCCATTAACCTTATTCAACAGTTGTACGACAACGGCACATGTCAAGTGATCCACAACGGAAAACTCAGCGAGGTGTTTAGAGCAAACACAGGAGTCAGACAAGAGTGCTTATTATCACTCATGATTGTATTCTTAATTGTGGTGGCTCCATTAGGCGTCAGACAGTGGGAAATGAGAAGACAGGGATATCCTGAGCCGACCGACGTGAAGAACCTAGAAGACCTGGATTTCGCGGATGATCTATGTTTGATGTCACATAAAATCGAAGACTTATATGCGAAAACCGACAAACTGGTCGAAGAAGCAGCCAGCGAAGACAGGACTCCAGGCGAACATAGACAAGACGGAGGTTATGAAAATAACCTACCAACCAACCAACCAACAACAACAACATCCAGCGCCGATCACTATCAACGGGAGGATTTGAAAGAGGTTACTTCATTCACTTCACTTATCTAGGGAGCATTGTCTCAACTACAGGCAGTCGGAACGGACGAGGATGTCAAATCGAGCGAGAATCGGGAAGGCGAGAAACACATTCACTCATCAAACTGAAGCCAATCTGGAAATCTTCGTCACTCAGCATCAACAACAATATTCAGTCGGATTTTGAATAAGTGGAAAACGTCAAGTCACTTGCCTTGTAACCAGCAGGTCCTGGGTTCGAACGCTGACGGTGGGTGCGTACTGCTGAACAGTCCCAAACTAGAACAAAACAGATGTCCAGTACTCCCAGCTGGTTTTCCAATGGTTCTCTAACCAATGATGAAATCCTGTAACCGATTTCAAATTGATTTGATTATGTATCGCAATTTTCCAGAGAACAATTGAAACCAAAGTGTTCAGCTTCATAGGATCTGTGATGAAGATTTCACTGAATAGTTCCAAAATAACTGGGTGCTGAGTGAGAAGTTCGAACAAGTTTGCCGAACGAAAGGCTGAAATTATTCATTTCAATTTCGATGGGATTTTATAATAATTATAATTTTCATTAATTGTTCAATCGTTGGAGGTTAATTCGTGGATGGTGACTAGGAGTGGAATCCACAATGCGCTTTTGCCCAGTTTGGGATTTATCATCCGAATGTACTTGCGTTCTGCAGTCAGTGATGATGCTTCCACCGGGGCTCGAACCAGTTACATAAGAGGTGGCCCAAGTGGTCTAGTGGATAATGTTTTGGCGTTTGAAACTAAGCGCACTGGGTTCTAGCCTTGTCTTACTGTTGTATTCACTTTGAACGCCTGACAAAATTAACATACTTACCTTTTATTTTTTCTTACTTTATATCACTAGTATTCCCTAATCGTGATTTGGAAAATGATATAAAAAGTGATACATCACGTCATTTCAAGCGTGTCTGCGTTGCTCTTCTACAAGCCAATAGAGATGAATCAACAAAAGTCGATACAGAACTTGCTCGAAGAGATGCAGAAAGTTTATACCGAGCAGGTGAACAAAAACTAGGAACAGATGAATCCAAGTAGGTAGATTATTCTTCACTCTCTATTCTTCTACGTATGTTTTTTATGTTCTGTTTTCTGGGGTTGAAGTTTCCGTAGTATCTGGGTTAATTTTTCCAGAGTAGCATCGCTAGTCCTACATTCAACCTTCCATCAATTTTGGGGCTTAAGACTTCCTAGCAAACTGTTGAATTAGTAAACTAGGCAAGGTTCTTAAAGTGAGTTCTGGAAAAAACACTTTTAAAGCCACCAGTTTAATAGATTAGTTGGCTAATCGATCACTAGGATTTAAAGTTAATCTAGGATCATGTTAGAAGACTCGGACTAGTGGTCTACAGTTTAGTTAAGGTATTTAACCATGAGCTGACATTGGTTAGAGGACCATTGGAAAACCTCCTGAGAGTCCTAAACAGCTGTTTCATCAGCCTGGTTTGGAACTCTTCATCAGTACAAACCCACCGTCAGGGTTCGAACCCAGGACGTTTTGGTTACAAGGCAAGCTCGTAGAGCCACTGGGACCAGATCCAATGGCCCATGAATTCTAACTTCAGCTAATTCAAGACATAGCGCGACCGTTAGCTAATGTCTTCGGTGAATATTTGTCCTCACCCCGACCTGTTGCAGCCTACTGGTCACAACTTCCTTGGCGTGTGCGTACTGATGAGTGTCCCAAACTAGGATGAAACGTCTGTCCAGTACTTCCAGGTTTTCAATGGTTCAATGGTTCCAATCCCCACAAATCAATACTTGAAGGTCTATCGTTTGTTAGCTTAATTTTCCACATTCCAAACTATTAGATCCAACTGATGGCCAAGTTTTTGTTTCACTAAAATCGTTAAGGAATTTGCCCAGTTTTCAGCAGTCGTATCACTTCGACTTCGAAGAACTAGCTGCTCATACTTGTCTTCTCATCTCAGTTAACCGAACTATTTTGTTGAGCATATTGTAAATATTGTCCCAGTCGAAATGATGTCCATGGTTGTCTGTAGGCAGTGATATGAAGATGTGGTTATTGTGTCCTCTGGCCTCCAAAATACATGATATCCTCTGGCTCGCATCACTGCCTACAGACAATCACGAATATTGATTCGATTGGTACAACGTTCGAATATAAGACAGGTAAAAACCCAAAAACACCAGAGGAGTTTTAGAAGCCTGGTATTCAAGTGAATTGGTAATTCATAGGCATATTGAAGCAAAAAGTCTTACCAATTCATAGAAGGAAATCTCATGCGCAATAAATCAAGCTTTAGGTAAAATAAACAGTCAATATCAAATACAAGTCGACTATAGGGTGAGAAAACACATAAAAGCAACCATTCGTGTTCAATGTTATCAGGAGGGATGACTAATAAACTTGTGAAGAAACTTTAGTTCTTACTTCAAATTGAAGTATGCACTGAGGATGTTGCCTAGTAAGGCAATCAAAGCTTCACAAGTAAACCATGAGGTTTAGAGAACATAACTACACCAAAAGTTCTTTGTGTATTTGTCGGTTTCAGTTCTCGATGTCGTCTAAAGGGAACAATGCTTTAAATAGTGCCATCACCAGGCATCTTCTCGACACGGGTCATGAGGTGGACGTTGAAAAGTCGTTCAAAATTATCAATAAGCAAAATAGCTCAATTCTCCTTAAGTTTGCTGAAGCCATTTCCATCAAGCGTCGCCTGAAACCTGATTTATGCGTCCAGAAAGAAGCGGTTATCAGCCTTTCTTTACCCTGGTAACTGGATAATTTCACCTCTCTTTCCTCCGAATGTGAAATGCTAAAAGTTTCCATTGTGTTTGATTATTATTGTTCGGAATAGTGGTTAATATTGTATATTTATATATGTATATATTTTTAGTGTATGAGTATATTGATCGATTGATTTTTGTTTAAACTGAACTCTAAGCAAGTATGTTAAAATTGTTGTTGTAGATAGATTTAATAATGTCTTTGCCATGTAAGCAGCTGACGAGAAGGCAACAAAATAAAAGATGGTACATTTTATTCTGCTAAAACTTAGTTCTTTCATTGTTCAAATTCATTAAGGGGAATAAATGTATGAAATGTTTTTTTACATATTAAAATAAATTGCTGTCATGGACCAGTCTATCTCCTATCTTTATATGCATGAACTCTTAGGTTCAGAAGCGATCGCAAATCAGTATTTGGTAGTCGGTCTTCAAAAGGCTTGGTTATTGCTTCTCTCTATGGGATCCTAGTTGCAAAATTATAATTAATGTTGGCCATATCAACTCATTTTAACTTTCATTTTTACTTTGTTGTAAAACACATCTATATTTTATACGATTTTAAGGGTGCACATTTAGAAGAGTGTAGGCGGTTTTTACTTTCCGACTTTCCACACCGTGGAAGTTGAGTTTTTTCTTGGGGGTGTGACCACAGAGCCTAAGTACCAGTCACTCACCGCCTGTTTTAGCTACCTTCTAGGTAACGTACCACCGGTAATGGACCACCTTAGGGTAAGTTTGGATGTGAAGTCTTTGGGGTCGACGTTTTCTAAACGGTTCTCTCTCGAATGTAGAGACAGTAGAGTTGGCATGATGGCCATCTAAGCAGAACACCTTAGTGCTGTTACATCCCTGTTGCCCAGCAGTTAGACTTTGCCTACAGACCTTCAGTATAGTGTAAAAAATGCACACTATGTTGTTAGATGTTTTTATTCTAATCGCTATCCTAACTATCCTCCTGGCATGGTAGGACCTACAGGAACATTATTTCTAGCCAGTATAGCTTGTTGGGTCATTGCGATATGCAATCCCGACCACTACTATCGATTGGTAGAATAGTAAAGTTTCTCATTACTACCCATAAATTAGTAAACCCCTTTTATTGATGATGTTTTTGATTTAAAAGTTCATTTATTTTGGAAAAATCTCTAAAAATTATTTTTATAATCGTAATATATGCATCATCATTTTCCTATCTATTTCACAGATTTGTTCAGATACTCGTTTCGAGATCATATGCCCATTTGCGTTTGGTATTTGAAGAGTATTCAACCATTGGAAAACGTAATATTGAGGATACGTTGAAGTCAGAAATGCATGGAGATACACTGCGTGCATTCCTATCAATTGGTTAGTTTTGTGAATTAATCGATTATGCGAATAATTCAAAGGAGTTATAGTCACTTACTACTACTACTATTATTGTTTCCTTTAGTTCGAAGAGGAACATAGGGCTTCAGCTGCGCGTCTCCATTGCGTTCGGTTCTCCGCCAATGTTTTCATCTGCCTCGGCGTCCGCTCATATGCCTTCATCTCTCTTCAAATGGCCTCCTCCTCTATGTCACCCTCACACTGACGATCAACTGGCCGCTTCCCATTGTGTTCTACTCGAGCGATGGCCTGCCGTGTCAAGTTGCTCATTTGATGGTTTGTTTCCCCACAGTATGGTCAATCCATTTCCATCTCTTCCTGTATATTTGTTGCGCAATCGGTTCCTGCTGCGTTGGTTGTTCGTCGTCAGAGATCCCTCACTATTGCTGATCTTTTCTAGCCGGTCATCTGATATTCAGTAGTATTGAGTGAAAGAGCTGTTGATGAAGGTCTGTGATTGTTTGACGTTCTCTTCATTGTTATTAGTATTATTAACAAAAGACTGAAGGTAGTCACACCTATAAAGTAAATGTAGCAAGTCAGCAGTGACTGAAAAGTGTCATTTTGGAGTCATATTCAACCAGCTTGTTGGCATTCGCTGTTAATTTCCCTCTTCTTTTCACTGTTATTTTCTGTCTGGCTACTTCATTATTCTCGTGATTCACAGATGGTATGCACTTCACCTTCGTCAACCTACTCCACGTATGAGTCATCACATCACTAGATCTGTTACGAAGTCTGTTCCCAGATTTTTTTCATCGTATTCCAGTTTCTTAAGTGAGTAGCTTATTTTAAAAGCACTTGTCATCAATATAGTGTGAAACCAGAAGAGATTTTAATGTATTTCCTTGTGTAGGCATTGATGAACACCAGATACGAGTACGACTTTTGACTAGATTTATATGCGTCCCATCCAAGTTCACTTTTAACAGTTTGATAAAATTTGGGCATTGGTATATGATATTCATTATAATAAAGTTTATTTTGTATTTCCCAATGAATGAAAAAGAAAACGATATCGTTGTTTTTACTGACGTTTCGCTATTTAATGCTAATAGTTTCATCAAAGTAGTATTATTAAGTCTAAATTTACAAAATCACAGCTTACATATAGCAACTTAATCATCGTTCCTCTTCAGAAGAAATAAACACCACAGAGCATCCGCTTGACCACCTAGAAATCCAGTTGAACTAGAAAAGCTTGCAAAATTATCAAACATAGGTTTACACGCTATTTGAAATAGGCCACAAAATTGATTTTGACAATATTGAAATCATTATTATCCAGAAAAATTTCAGAAATCATAAAGAACGTTCAATATCATCAGAAACGCTTCATGTCAAATGGAATCCAAATTGCCTGGTGGATAGGAATGATGGAGTAAAACAGAATTCGACCTGGTTGCAACGCCAACCACCTCCCCCATGAAATGACCAAATCAACACAAATGTCATAAGCAATTTCATTGTGTAAGCACATGCTGCTTTTATAATTTTACACACTTATCATATCCAACAATCTACACCTGGTTTTGTTATCTTTAACAGTTAGCCCATTCGACAACAACGCGAAAATGACCCCATGCTGAGGAACCATGATTAAGTTGTTATATATAAAATAAGATTTTGAAAATTCTGGTTTTATAATACTACATTGATAAAGCTATTAGCAGCATCAAATAGCTAAACGTCACTAGAAACAACAATTCATTGGGAAATACAAAAACCTTTATTATAATGATTATGCTAGATTAAGTTTTAACAATTTCCATGTCCTCAAGTTGGATAATTTATGACCGGTGATGGCGTTTTCTGCTTTCTAGTCCACTGATATCCGAATTTCTTCCGATGTACCATTTTTGTATGGTATTGTGACTGCTGCTTTTGTGCCTTCCTCCTTCTTGTCATTCTCTAGTTTTACTCTCTTTTCTATATTATCTCTGATGAATTCTTTTGGGTAGTTGTTATCGAGTAACATTTTGAATAAGACATTTATTTGTTTTTGTTGGTCATCTGGCGTTTTTCGGAAGTCAACGTATTCTGTTTGCAAGAACTTGTATTAACCCTCGTTTTACCGTAAGTGGATGAGTGGATTGACAGTCAAAGAATCTTCCAGAATGTGTAGTTTTTTTCCTACATAGCATCATTTTCATGCTCCCATCTGTTACCCTTTGTACTTCGCAGTCTAACATACGCAGTTCCCCAATGTTTCATTCTCTATTTCCATAGTGAATTTTATTGAGTTGGCATGCTGTTTGTGTGTGCGTGTGAGAAGAATTTCTCAACATCTTTATTTTTTCCATTACTATCGTGTCGTCTACATATCTCTACCAACATTTTATTGATGACCTGAATAGTTTAAGTGCATTCTCTTCCCAAAATTCCATGAATATATCTGCTATTATTTCAGAGACAGGCGATTCCATGGCTACTCCTACTTCATTTTGTTAACAAATCTAAAATATGCGGTTTTCAGACAGAATTTGACCCCTTTTATTATCATCTCTTCTGTGGATAATTGTATCCTGTCTTTTAGACCATTATCTTCGTCTAGTCTCGTTTCCAGTGCAACAATGCCTATTTAGCTGGGTATTTTAGTATAGTATTTATTCGTCTCACTAATTCAAATGAATCTTTTGGTCACATAGAATAGGCTTGAGTTTTGGATCACCAGTGCCTCAGCTATTCCCGGATGTCTTGATTTCACTACCTTTGGTAGGTTGAATCGGATCTTATACGTAGCTTTGAAGGACCTCTGATCTCTGGCCGGAAATAATTCTGGAACTTACTCACACATGTGATATAAATAAACGAATGTACAGCCTAGTTGATGACTTCGTCCAAAAGAAAATTTTCTTCGCCTGCAATCGTCTTTTTAATAATTCTTAGAATCTACTATTCTAGTTTTTGAATTGTCTCTGGTCGTTCTTAATATTGTTGAGTAATTTTGATTGTAATATTGTAACAAGCGAAGACAAGGGCCAGGCAACATACCATATACTGAGGAAATCAAGAGATATTTATAGATTTTATATACATTATTATTAGCGCTATTGTTAGCAGACAAGTAACGTCTTCTGATTGGTTGTTTTCTTGCTCAAGGTTATTCTGTCATCTGTTTGTTGACGTTTATTAGACAGCCCGTATCCACCAACGTTAAGTCTTCTGTGATTGGTTGTTGAGTTCCTCAAGGTTAAGTTTTGTTCTTGTTCTTTCTCATGACCTCGATTTGAGACGTAAACATTGACGTAAACTGCTGTTTCGATTTCTGACTTGCACGCAGCTCTCACCACAATATAATTATAATTTATTTGATTTATTCTAAAATCTCCGAATTTTTACTGACATTAAAAACATGAATTTTTAAAAATATTTCTGTTGTTTCTCTGTCTCATTTGTTTTTTGTAAATTTCAGTTTCTTGTATTAAAAATAAACCAAAGTATTTTGCCGAAAAATTACACAAGTCGATGAAAGGTCTAGGCACAGACAATAAAACACTAATTCGTATAATTGTATCTCGTTGTGAAATTGATTTGGGGATAATAAAGAAAGAATTTCAAAGTTTAACTGGGAAAACTCTAGAAGCATATATACATGTGAGTAACACATTCTTTCTTTTCGATTTGCATTCACCTGTTAACTCTAGAGGATACATTTTATTGCTGCCTGTTGTCTGACGTTTACGATTTATTATAACTGCTCCCTTGGGTTCCTAGTGGAACATAGGGCTTCAACTTCATGTCTCTAATTGCTTCTGTCTTCCTTCTGCTGTACTTTTCACCTGCATCCATCCATGTTGGTCCACACTGCTTCAACTCCTCTTCACACCATCTCCTCCATGTCACCCTTGCACTAACGTCCCACTCGCCGCTTCCCATTCTTTTGGGTTCCACTCGAGCAATGGCCTGACGCTCGCGCGATGTCACCCAGTGGCCTCCTCAGCCAGTGTCCAGTCCATCTCCACTTTCTACTGCATATTTGTTGGTTGGCGATCGGTTCGTGTTTTGTTTCTTTGTTCCCATACTTCCTTGTTGGTGATTCTGGTGATTTTGGCCATCTGATCTTCAGTATAGAGCCAGCGAAGACAGTTGTTGATAAAGTTCTGCAATAGCATATTGGTTGGAAATATTCTTTGTGACCCACCCGCCTAGTTTCTGATCTGTATAGAAGAGCTGACTGACTTGACGTTGTTCGTATTGAAAATCCTACCGAATTTTGTTGTTGATGATGGCTGAGTGACGAAGATTTCCAGATTGGTTTCAGGTTAATGATGTTGATGTGTTTCTCGCCTTCCCGATTCTCGCTCGATTTGACATCCTCGTCAGTTCCGACTGCCTTTAGTTGATACAATGCTCCCTAGATAAGTGAATGAAGTGACCTCTTTCAAATCCCTCTCGTTGATGGTGATTGGCGCTGGATGTCTCTGCTGTTGTCGTTGTTGTTGGTTGGTTATTTTCATAACCTCCGTCTTGTCTATGTTCACCTGGACTCCTGTCTTCGCCGGCTGCTTCTTCGACCAGTTTGTCGGTTTTCGCTTGTAAGTCTTCGATCTTGTGTGACATCAAACATAAATCATCCGCGAAATCCAGGTCTTCTAGGTTCTTCACGTCGGTCCAGACAGGATATTCCTGTCTTCTCGTTTCCCACAGTCTGACGCATAATCCATTCAGTCCACCACAATTAGGAATATCATTGGTAACGTTCACGATTTGATTGGTTATTGTCTAGTGTCCAGTCAAAAGTATCCAATGCTGCCCTACAGGAGGTCCGAATAGCTCAATGGTAATTTCTTTGACTACACCACCGGGTGATACGGATTCGAAACTCAGAAATGATTGCAGATGAGCCATGATAATAATTTGCTATATTCCAAAACAGCATTTCTAATCTTACAGTGCGGAACATTTGGCATTCGGTACATTATTACATCTAATTTCATCGAATAGTATTAAGAACAGTTATAAAAATAATATTACAGGATTATTAATGGCATTTCTCATTTGGTATTTGTAATGACAGTGAAGTCATATATTGACCAAAAAAAAACAAATTGTAAATAATGACAATAATAAGATTAGTAGCTAAGATTGTCAGTTAATTCAGACAGTGTCAGCATAGATTACAAAAATAGGAAATAATAAAAGATCCGATTATTTCGCTAACAACATCATAATTGATAAGTTTCACGCTTTACATTGACTCTATCGCAAAATTTGGTATCGCTGAGTACCTATACTTGGTAGATTAGCCCTGGTGTTCTTGGATAGGATTGTGGGATGATCTTTTTTCCTCTTTACAAAACTATGAAGGTAAAGTATTCGATGACACATTTGGATAGCAAACAGTGAGTAAGGCCAACATACCCAACTCCACACAAGCAGGTCAGTTGATAGGTAAACATTCATGAGACTAGCAGTGGTATCCTGTACCTCACGTTTATGCAAGCCATTGGTTTTGTGGAGAAGAAGGTTTTCACCAAACGCTTAGAATTAGGAATTCCGTTCATAGAAGTAAGAGAGATTCAGGATATTTATAAAGCATAATTTAAAGTTAAAGGAGTTTAAAAGGAAATAATAAAAAGGGAAAAACGAATTTTTTAAATTTTCCTTTTTCTGATTATAGCCTGATTCCACAACGTATACCGGTAGTCCGAATTTGACGGTCAACCATAGATATCAGGTGTGCGTCAGCAGGGAATCAAACCCCGGTCCATGTACATGGTCAACGAGAGTCCTAACCGATGTCCTTGAGTTCCTCAAGGTTAAGCGTCGGTGGCACAGTGGTTAGGACTCTCGCCGACTATGCATATGGTCCGAGGTTCGATCTCCTGCCGACGCACACCTGATATCTATGGTCGGCCTGCAAAATTTGGGCTACCGATATCCATGCTGAAAATTTCATACCTGTAAGAAAATACAGTGTGGAATCAAGCTGTAAATCAAAAAAAAGCTTTATTATTGCATTTTTTTCTCATGGCGCCGACCAGGGACATAAACATTGACGTAAATTGTTGTCTACAATTTTGGCTTGCAGATAGCTCTCACTAGAAAATTACTGGGCAAGATTAAGGAAGAAGTTATTTAAGGCGATGGTGGTGAAATGGATTGAATAAACTGCTTGTGGTGTACACAGTTTAAATGTTTCCTTCGTTGTAGAGAGATGTAGCCGGGGATCCTTTTACAACCTTTCAGAACAATTTGTAACTGTATAGTTTTCAAGCGGAGTCAAGAGTGGCATGTTCTTTGCGAACCTGCATCTTTCTAACTTGTATTAAATAAGAATTTTTTATACTTTTCCCCCCTGACTCCATTAATGTGTGACATTTCATTTTCTACATTTTAGGATGACACAAGCGGTGATTTCCGCTTGATACTGCTGGCATTAGTTGGAGCTTGAAATAGTTAAACGTCCATACATTTGTGAAACATGAACCAATGAATAACAGAAACAGTTCTTTCCTCTCAACATATTCAATAAACTGTGATACCTAGTTTTTTTGTTTTTTGTTTTCGTAACCTATATATTATGCAATAAATTAATTCAACCTACCATGAGGTTATTTTTTACAAAGTCTACAGAAGAGAGTTTCGAAGCTTGATGGGAAATATCTTACAATCTGAGGTGTTCTAGCTTCTGATCAGTTTACGTTTTGTGACCTGATCGCAGCTTTTAAATTCAAAAATTTTCGATGGACATATTTATATTACAGTTTTGTGACTAATTCACTAGCTATGGAAACTTAAAGTTTGAGAAAAAATCAATTTATTAGAGCGAAATTTTGTTACTCTCAAGCCTATATGGAGGTCAGCAACACTCAGCATGAAAAATAAGATCCGGATTTTCAAATCCAATATGAAGTCAGTGCTACTCACTATACGGATCACAGACTTGACACCGCGCCGCATCACTCAAGGCACTTCGAACAAACTACACACCTTCATCAACAGCTGTCTTCGCTCAGTACTAATCAAGATCAGATGGCCAAATAGAAAAAATCAACAAAAGTGCGGGATCTATGACGACGACGAACCAACCAAGGAGGAACCGATTGCGCAACAAATATGCAGGAAGAAATGGAGTAAGGTGGATTGGTCATACTCTAAAAAAACAAATCATCAAGTTAGTGACATCGCATGCCAGGCCATCGCTCGAGGGGAACCCAAATGGGAAGTGGAGAGTTGATCGTCAATGTGACGGTGACATGGAGGAGGAGATGACGACAATAGGGGATGTAATTATTTGGGTGGACATGGAGTCATGTAAAAACATTGGTGGATAACCGAAAGCAGTGGAGACGTGCGGCTGTAATCTTATGTTATTCTAGGAACTAAAATAGACAATAATAATAACGAAACTTCAAAGGTTCTTTAGCCATATGACTGAATTTTTGACACAGGGTCACTACAAGCCACTAGTAAATTAGTGTAATGGTAAATTACCCAGAAGGAAATGGGGATAGATTAGACATACGCTAATCAGACGGTTGCTTGAGATCACGTGTCATGCTCTTAAGTCGAACACAAATAAGAAGCGAGTTACAATTTGAACTTGAATCTGAAGGTGGCATGGAAAACATAATGGGATGGAAGCACAGGAGCGATTGTGAAGCCAGCTAAAGGTGACTTCAGAGGACAGAGTAAAAATGGTGGCGCACTCCTGAAGCACTATGTTCCGTCTGGAAACCAAGGAAATAATAAATCCCTTGTATAAAAACTGTCATTGCAAATGTCGTGACGGAAAGGAAGTATCTCCAAGAGTTGGTTTGTAAGGGTTGGATTTATTTTTCCAGTTTAATCTGATACTCGCTATTGACTATGCTACAGTACGGTGTTTCCTGGAGATCTAGTGACAATTCGTGACCAGTGAGGTTCATCCAGTCGCAGTCGGGGATGGATTTCCACCGATGACATTGGTTGGTGGTCGTGCTAAAATCACGAATTCGTAAAAGTTGGAATTAATAGGCCATTGAGTCGGTTCCTAATGTCTGAATGGTATACGCGCTTGTCTTGTAGCCGGAAGGTAATGGGTTCGAGATCCAGTCGATGATTCCCAAAACCAAGATGAAACAGCAGTCTAGTACTCCGATTTTTAGGGGTTCTTTAACTGATATCAATCCGTAACCCTTTCTGGTAAAAAGAGCCTTAGTAAGGTGCTTCCAACGAATATGCACGGAAGACACACTTTATGAGAAAGAAATTAGTTAATTATTGAGGCAATTCCATTAGGAGATATATAGTAGTCAGAACGCTAAGACCCACTCTCCAACTCGCTACTAGGAAAGACATATACATCAGATTACCCTATGTGAGTGATCAAAACAGCTCGGTAACTCATGAATTGCGGAATGCTGCAGTAAGGAAGAATTTTTATGCAACAAAGATTAGAATGGCTGAGAATGACAGTGAAGTCGATATATTCATCTAAGTCTTTGGAACATGCGAAAAATGATGTCACATCCAACTGTATTTACCTATTTGAATGTACCTGTGGACAAATAAATGGGGAGGACTCATTGATCTCTGTAAGCAGGGCCTTCAGAAGCAAATGGAATCTCCAGAAGTCATTAATGGTGAGAACAGACGACCTAACTCTTCTACTCAGAAATATATCGTTGAGACAGGACATAAAATTGATGTTTCCACACGTATTTTATACAACGTGTGGCAAAGTTTGTGGAAGCTCTAGTAATTAGGAAGTTTAAAACCCCTTTATGCATTCAAAAACAATTCGTCATCACACTAGACCTTCTTTGACAAAACTTTGTTTTGATACCAGTCAGGGTGGATGTACTATTACCTCTCTTATTTGGTTTTAGTGATCTTCCTTGTTATTTTGATCTTCAGTATGTCCATTAACTTCACCTCAGTCTATTTTATCACCTCTTAACTCTTTACTGATTTCATATATATTCCTATTACTAACCCCTGTGTGATCAGATTGTTCGAAATGTGTTGCTCAAATTTCACATTACACGATTCAGATAAATTACGTCTTCTTATTACTTTGTCTCAGCTACTAACTTACCGGAATGACCTTGGCGGCCTGTTTGAATATTTTTGGGCTACCACATTCCATGTACATTTTGCATCTATTTACTCGTATTTTATTGGTATTTACATATCACATTATGCATTCTAATCGTATTATCTACTCCCGGGATTTTATAAAACGTTTTAAACCCAAAAACTTTCATATTTGCAATAAACTCAAGAAAAAGCACCATGGAGGTTGGCAGCGTGCCTTAAAATCTACACCCATACATCACACCACTGTTCCAGTTATCATTAGTACCAACTGCCGGTCCCTGCCTAACAAAATTCTGGATTTTCAGTCTCTGTTGTCTTCTAGTACCTACCACAATACTGGTATTGTCACTCTGCAAGAAACCTGGCTCCATGACTCATACGATGACAATATTGTGTCTCTAAACAATTTCAATGTTTTTCGACAAGACCGTATTTGTTCCAAGAAAAAGTGTGGTGGAGGTGTTGCAACTTTTATTCACTCAAAATGGTCCATTTCAAACAAAGTTTGTTTCAAATTCTCGAATGACTTCATTGATTGCATCACTGTGAGATGTCGCCCGAAACACATTTCAAAATACAAATTCATTTATATTTCTAATGTTTATGTCTCTCCTGGCTGTACCATATTGGATTTATCTATGTTCGCCGATGAATTCACCGCTTTTGCTGCAGCTTGTTTCGAGAACTCTTTATCAATAGTAACTGGCGACTTCAATGGAAGCGATTGCTCCTTCCTTATATCACTTGGTCATGACAATATTGTTAACTTTGCCACCCGTCTTGGTAAAAAACTGGACCTGGTATTTATCAATGATGTTGGTATATATGAAGCTCGCAAACGTGCTCCTCTACTTAATTCTGACCACTGCATCATACGTGTGCTGCCTAAAATATATTCCAAATCACACAAAGGTGTCCTCTCTCACCTCTACAGTAAAGTTCAACGGAGATGCTACTCAAAAGACAACCTAGACAAGCTCAGATGCATGTTGAAAGACACTAACTGGGACTTATTTACAGAACAAACATTAGATGAAACAATCACAAACACTACCGATTATCTTAAATTCTGTTTCGAAATATGTTGTCCTAAAGAAACATTATTCATTCGATTTGATCGCTTATCTTCGCCATATCTCAAAAAGCTACGTAGAAATAAAGAACTGTTGTTCAAAACTAATGATAAGCCTGGTGTAAAAAAGTTAAACATGCTGATAAAACTGGAAATAAAAAGACTAAGTGTTTTATATAATCAAAGATTTTTGTCATGTAAAACCCCTTCTAATTTATGGAAACTTTTCAAAGAAATTACTAACGGTAAGCGATGTATTTCTGTTCCATCTCTTAATGTTGACACTCTTAATAAATCTTTCATACGCTCTTCTGTTGATACCCTTCCAAATGATACAAATCATATTGACAATAACTTTAGTGGTTTTAATACCCTTGATGTGCTTAAATGTCTCCGGTCTCTTAAGCCTTCTCAAAGCCTTGGTCCTGACGGCATACCTGCCATTGTCCTCAGGAATTGTGCTGATATTTTGTGTTATCCTCTTACTAACATTTTTAATGCCTCTTTTTCCGGTAACGTTCTACCTTTTGCATGGAAAAACATTAAAATTATCCCTATACCAAAACCATCTTCTGGTTCTGATATTAAATTTCGGCCTATTGCAATTACTTCCCCCTTTTTAAAATTGATGGAAAAATTACTTTTACTTCGTCTTGAACCCGCTTTGAAACCTTTTAATGATCCTAAACAATTTGCATACAAACATGGTAGAAGTACCTTGGATGCTGCGGTTGTCTTATATCACAATGTTGTCTCTTGTTTAGACAAAGGTGCTAAATATGTTCGTAGTGCTTTCTTAGACTACACATCTGCTTTTGACTCTGTACCTAGGGGCCTTTTGTTAAATAAGCTATCGTTGACACAAACAGGATCCTGGGCTAAGAGTTGGTTGCATTCCTATTTTTCTGATAGAATGCAGTATACTGTATATAACGGCAAATCTTCTTCTACCTCGCTTACAAAATCCGGTGTTCCACAAGGTGCTGTCCTCTCTCCTTTTCTTTTTTCTTTCTTCCTACATGACCTACCTCATTCAAACGAAACTAACTTTGTTAAATATGCAGATGATCTGACTGTATCACTGCCTATCACTTCCGAGTCTGACAGCTCCAAACTTAATAGCTTTCTGTTGGACATCAACAACTGGTCCAAGTCAAATGGTCTTATATTAAATCCTTCCAAATGTCAGGTGCTTGACTTTACTTTCAAGCATCGACGTGACTTACTTGAACTAGTTAACTCTCATGATCCCTGTAGCATAGATGGCACGGAAATTGAAACCAAATCAAGTATTAAAT